TTAACTCCGGCTTTTATTTATTAATCTGTTTTTGATTTAAAACATTTTGCATAGCAGAAATCGTGCGTACAGTCGCATATTGCGGCAAACTATAAAGACGAACTCACTCACAACATATATAACATACACACAGTGTGTGTGTGTGTATTCGTTATTCTCGATCGCTTTTTTTCGTCTGTTTATTTTTTATATTTTCAGTACAGCCGTTTCTTTCGGTCTCTGAACTGATTTATTTATACGTTTTTTTTTCCGTTGCTTTGTTTTTGTCTGTGCGCAAGATCTCTTTTTCTTCATATTTTTCCTGTGTATTCAGTTTGTGCTTTTTTTTTGCCCATTCGTCCAATACAAATTCATAGCATTCAGCCCATTCTTCCGTTTATTTTTCGGCGCTCTTTTGCGTTTCATGAAGTGGTCTTATTTCTGTCATACGTCCCATGCGCGCACATGTACAAAGTAACATTTTCAAAGTATGAAATATAATTTATAATTATCATTACTGTTTTCAATTTTACAACGAAAAATACGAGCAAAATTGCAGCCGTCCATTTTGCTTCCTCTTTTGGATCTGTGCGCATTATGTGGAAAAACACAAATATATATTTCATCTCTGTTTCTGTTTCATCGTGTTTTTACCGAAGTCGGAATTGATTTTTTTTTCTGGTCACGATTCCTATTTAAATAGAAAATTGAATTGAGATTCTTTTTCTCTTTTTTTTTTTTAATTTAATTTATGAACTTCATCAATGATTCCGGTGTTTCTACAGTTTTTTTCCGTTAGCAATCACAGTCGTCTACTGTAAGTACGCAAAAAAAAGTTAGCGAAGGAAGAAAAGAAAAACCATTGTTAAAATGAAAACAATTTTCTCGCTAGTTTTCTGCATGTTTCAAGTGCCGCCACGCGCGATATCACCAAGATTAATTTACAAGTCACAGAACGCGAGCAACGTTCATGCTTTTCACAAAATAAATGAATTATTTCATTTGACAGCAAATGCAAATGCTTCGGTTCTGGCATTGAGATTTACGTTTTTGCCTTTGATTATTATTATATGCTGGTAATTTAATATGAAGAGGAAAGCAAGGAAAAAAGCAAACTTTTCATGTTTTTATTGCAAAATTTTGCAGTGTCCGGAGTGCGAAAGCAATTGATTGGAACATGCCATCGTCTGCCTGACCAGCATTTGCAAACCGAAATCGCATAATATTGATTTTTTTTCCACACTCGTCGAACATTTTGTAAACAACAATGAATCGATAAAATCGAACTCACTCTCTTTCTCTCGGTTTCTCGTTCAAATAACACACAGAAATTTTGCAGCAACAACAAAAAAATCCAGACAAAACAATTTCGGGGAAAAATTTTTATGTGGTACCCACTGTGGCGAGAACAAGCAGATTTCAATAACATAAAATCTTCTAAACTGCACTTCAAACGAAGCAACGTCCATAAAAACGACGTCGTCATATGTAGTTTTTTTTTACGTGTATATATTTTCATTCCATATTTTTATCGCCTTTTCTGCTTCATTTTCTGGTTTGCGCGTTCGGTTTTCGGTTACAAAAGACGTATATTCAAAGATTGAAACTGGTGCATAAATCATTCATTTCAAACTTTTCGAACCATCGTTGTCTGCAGGCTATAATTATTTTTATATATATTCTCTCTCGTCAGTCTGCAAATGAATAGAATATCGAAATCAATATAATCGAAATAAACCGGGCAAATGTTGTGTGTGTGTGTGTGTGTGTGTTGTTTGTATCTTTTTCATTCCTTATTTTGCAACTCTTGCGGCATCTACTTTTCGTCGTAATATAAGTTCATTTCTGTGTTTTGCCCTGCAACAACAACAAAAAACGACGAATTTCATTTGTGTGATCTTTTTTGTTCGGACATTCTTGTCGGCTGCGGTCGGAGGATCACAAATCAGATTGATCTACAAATTTGCATCAATGGGATCAAATACATTTGCATATATTTTCCATCGAAAATCGTTCAACTCTATCATCGTCCAAAGCTATTTGAATCGATTAGGAGCGACAGAAATGAAAATTGAAGGTATGAAAACAACCATTTCGGAGCTTGATTGCTACAACTTAACGACCTGGTAATCAAATCAGTCAATCAATATAACTACTGATACTGATAATCAAATGAGTTCAAGGCGGCTAGAAATAAAGAGCCTCAGCTTGAATGTAACACTGCGTGCGTTTGGATAATATTTTTCCGTTCCTTTTTTGCTCTCTCTCTCTCTCTCTCTCTCTGTCGTTATTTACCTAACGGGCCAGCTCAAGATTATAACTGCCCACAATTGAAGCACAAAGTTTCACGGCGCTTCAGCAAAACCAGTCATTCTTTGATAATCAAATCAACATCATATGTTACAAAGTATTCTTAGACTGTACGATACACGATGCACGATACACGAATCAAACCAATACTTTCAATCCTGAACTAGTGCAAAAGAAATAATAATGGCCATTTAATTGTTGCAAAGCATTGTGTTGAAGAAATACTTTAAAACCATTTTGAATGTGACATTTGCGAGCCTTAAGGCAAAATTTCAATTTATGAATATTCATGCGATTCGGAAAACTTTTTTTTCTTCATTTCAATACGAAACGCGAATGGAAAAGAGAAAAAAGAAACGGGAGTTCTCATGCGTCCAAGCGTAAGTATTGCAAATCACGAATGCCAAGAGAACCGTCGTTTATGCGTTATGTAAAGAGAAGAGAAAGAAAACTGAAATGAAAAGAAACGTGCCAAATGAATTTGTCCAGTACATACATGTCAATCGCACGCAGTTTTATCGGTGCGCCACATGTTTCTCTCTGTCGCTAATTATTTTGTTTCCATATTGAAAATCGAACGGGGTAATGAGTCTTGTTACGGCTTACACATTAAATCGATTAGAAATCTACGCCAAATCAATCCATTTTACCAATGGTGACAGCTATCGCACACCAATAGTTCCAGCGTCAATTTTATCGAAGTTGAAATTTTTTCGAAGAGTGAGAGAGACAGAGATTTGATGTCCACAAAAGACAGGATGAAAAATTACGTCATTTAAGCCAGTGCAAAGTTATTGAAATCGGATGAAAAAAAGGAAACAGAAGTGATGAAAAAATAAACTTTTCTCTCTGAAATCTGGTGGCCAACTGGTCCCTTCGAAAATAGAAATGAACGAATGCAAATGGTATTGCATCGAATTTCACCGTGCTTCCACTCTCACGTTTAATTCAAATGTTACTTAGCCCATTATGTCACCCACCAAGCCATGTTGATGACCGCTCCTAATTATAATTCGGTTGGCGTGTGTGGTTTTAAGGTAATTGCTAATTAAAATCTACTACTGATCAACAAAATCCCAACTGTCAAACACAAAGAACACCGAAACAAAAACAAAAAGAGCGCAAAGTGAGCGGTCACTAATTTTTTCTTCTGTTTTGTTGGTATCTTTGTTTGTTTGCTGATTGGATTAGTTGATATGCCTAATTCCGTGTCGACTCAATCGTTAACTTTTACTTTCTCCATTGAACCGACACACAAAGTCGTTCGATTTGGTTAATGTTTGCTCTGACCGAACCATGTTTTTTTTTCTCCTTCGTTCGTTTTCCAGATCATTTTTTACCGTTGTATTCAATTGATTTCAAATTTGTTGATTGTTTTGCGAGAGACTCCTTAGATGAGTCAAACGAAATGAAAATCAATTGGATCACCGACTGTGGTTCACACCCATAGTAGAGAAAAAAAAGCCTTTGCCATTTACAAGTGATCGGACTTCTGCGTGCATTGTTCAAACTAATTAACGTACACTCCATTCGTCTTTTGTTTGGCGCACATCGAGTAAACAAAACAAAAAACAGCGTTTTCATCTTGGAAACTATCTCAACATTCATTGTTGGCAATGCTTCTTGAGATAAACACACACACACAAAAAAACAACAACAGCCTCACTGTTTGGTCCATTCGGTGCAGTTCGAAACATTAAAGGTTAATAGGAATTGAAACAATCAACAAAACAAAAACATCTCCAGTAATTTACATTCACTTTTTAACATTTGGTTCTGCACTAGATTTTTTCTTCTTCTGTGTATCTCTCTCTCTCTCTCTCCTCTTTTCGGTTGTGATCAGACACAAAAATTCCAGCATGAAGAGCTGGACGATGATTTTTGTAATGAGCTAATCAAAATGAAAGCACTTGTGCTATTCTCAATGGACTTCGAAGAGAGTTTCCTACTTTCGTTGCAAATTGTAGCAACGCAACAAATTTACGATGCGATATTAGCCCAGAATGCTGATAAACATATAATGTTTTTAATAATGTGTAAAGACGGTTGAAATAACCTGGTTTTGCCATTCCATCATCGGTTCACGGCATCTCAAATTGAGACCTCAAGCTCAACATTAGTTTTAAACATGAAAATGTATTTCTTTTTTCTGCTCAGTGCTCGCTTCAACTGATTCAGATATCAAAATATTATTTTACGCCAACTTTTATTTATTCTCTCTTTTGCAAGAGAATCAAGAGTTTCGTATTTAACCTCCAGCATGTTTTTTTTTCTGTTGTTGCTCTTGTAAATGCCCTAACCGCATTGGATTGCAAGAACGAAATAAGTTGATATTTCCTCTTCTTCAGTCGTTATTCTTTATTTATTCATCGGTTGGAAAATGTTAAGCTATTACGTTGAAAAAAAAAAAATAATCGGGTTTGTGTTGGCGTTTGTTCTCTGTGTTATCAAAGAGTGTAGAAAGAAGATTGGAAAAGAATTAATTCTGACTCTGGAGATTTTTGGGCAGGATCGATGTCGTTCAATTTAGTCGAGCTGAACAAAATCTTCTGAAACTCTAAAATCGAATTGGTATGCGAGTGAGTCGTGCAAAGCATTAGCGGTTTTTGACATCTCGCAAAACAAGAACAAAAAAAACACACACAGAGAATCATTCAACAAACGAAGCAAAACACAGAACAAAAAAAAAAAACAAAAATAAATAAACTTACGCGAAAACTGGAATCCGGAATATATTCAGTGTTATTCAGCGATAAAATGTATCCAGTTTATAATGTGCTGACGAACTTATGTGAGCGATGCAGAAATTTGAACACAACAAAAACTGTCACTCGAATACTTTAATCCTATTTTCTTAATCACATTTCAAAGTACTTTAATACTCCGATTAAAATTGAGTTTCTGCACAACGACAGTTGAAAAACAAAGCACACGCACTCGCACACCAACCAACTCACATACGTTAAAACACTTTGCTTAAATCGGATTCATGTTTCTTTCATTTGTGCACAAACGGGAAAAAAACGAATAAAACAAAAAGATCGAATTTATTTTGCCGCCTAATGGTAACAACTGTATAAATTTTGATTACAACTAGCAAAAAGGACCGCGAACGACTGACTTAAATCCACGAATCGTCAAAGACACGCAACACAAACACACACACTCACACACGATATTCACCCGCCAAGCGAGCGTATTCGATAAAATTGCGTTCGCACTCGATTGAGTTCTAAGCGCGTCTAAGGCTTTGGATACGTTTTTTGATTTGTATTACCGTGAAAAAAAACCGACCCGAACTAAAATGAATTCTGAAATCGGAAAATATCGAATGTGTGCACTGCACAGACTCAGACATTCGGGCACACACGAAGCACCATAACATGAAGCACTGACCATCAACGCTTTCGACATTCAAAAATCGCCTCTACCCAAGCAGTTTTACTTTTGTCCATTGACGGTTCAAGCCTGTGAGAAAGCTTCATCGAACGAAAGGAGTTCATGGTATGCTGAACACCAACAGCAACAACAACAGCAACAAAAACATCGACGGCAACACAATGAAGGAGAGTGAAGAGAAAAAAACGCCGGCCAAAACCATAAATCTGTATCAAAATGAACAGGTATTATTAGTAACATTTGACTTAGCAATCAAAATCTACTAAATATATAACCTCTCGTTAATAATATCAATAAAAATAATGCCGATTTTCGAGCGAGAAGAAAGTCAAAAGTGAAAAGGTCTCATATTTGCATACAATTTTTTTGCACACTTGTCTTATCGTCACAATTGCGAATAAATGTTTAAAGAGAAAAAAAAAACGTTAGACAAAAAGTAGCAACTATCAACATTTCTGTGGGTTCCCGAACCCGAGCCATGACAGGGAAATAAGCGAAGGAAAGAGAGAAAGAAGCCAGCAAAAATTGCGCTGGAAAACGACATGACGAAGCGATTGTTTTGGCGGAGTCAAAGCGATAAAGACGTTTGCGAGCAGCACATTAAAACCAACCCCATCGCGTCTTATTTTCACCGTTATTACATACAATTATTCAAACAGTCACAGTACGGACGGGGCATTAAAAGCCATAAATTCGCATATCTTTCAGCATGGGTCGTGTATGTGTATATGTATGTGTTTCTATAACAACTGCACTGACCAAAACAATTTGATGTGATGTCCACACGGTTTTCTACATTGTGTGCGATATGACTCGGTGGTTTTTCTTCTTCTTCTTCTTTCTTCATTTCATTCTTGTCACGGCAAGGTATTACGATGGCGATGTCCGTTCGTTCACAACCATACTACATCACATCGCACCACGACCATCACACAAAAACGAGTTAGCCTAATTTCTATTAAGCAAAAATCATCGTATTTGCAATAAAACCGGACCAAAACGGAAGCGGTTCATATATTCAAATAAGTCTTGCCCAGGACAACTATATTAACGATGGACGCTATCATTTTGCTCTTGTTCTCATCCTATTCGGGTGGAGGGTAGAACGAAAGAAAAAACAAATCCTGAAGTACGCATACATAAATAAATAAAATACACTTTGAGCGATAGCACATCAATAACATTTGTCCGACTCACCGCTTTAATAAATCGCTATTTACGATAGTATACCATTCATTTGATCTCTTCATAACCTCAACATGAAGGAATTTCATAGCGTTTTTTCCCATTATTTTTTTCTCTCTTTCGTTTGTTTTGTGTTTCCTTTTTTTCTTCATTATCGTTGCAAATAAATATTTTTTCCATAAAATATATGCGATAAATTGTTGCGTTAATCATGAAGGTAGAGAGAAAAAAAACATACTGGCAGAGCTCCTGCTGTGTCATTTAATTCGTACTGATTTATTGGAGCAAATGCGAATTATGTTAGATGCATGCTTCGTGCCCAATTCTGTCACGGGTCTTACTGACATTTCATGCAGAAAAAAGCACACAAACACATCATCGAGGCTATATAAAATTATGAACAGCTTGACTGATTTGCAGCATGCATGTGAGTGAATCGATCGATTTGCAGAGATCAGTCAGTGTTGTGTCGCAACTTTGTATGCTTCATTGAAGCATTGCTTCAAGTAAATGTTATCGCACATTTTCCAAACCGAGTGGATTCTGCTGCGAAACGAAAATTGATCGCGGGGGGGGGGGGGTACTTTGAACATTCGGACGATGTGTCATTCGATAGCAATGCATTTGCACTTGTACACGATAAGAAAAGAGAATTTCGGTTTTTGAAACTCGAAACACGCCGGTGGCGAAGTCCTGAAGAGCACCAATAGTAGTAGCAACGCTTACGAAAATGAATGGGTTTTCCACATCACCGATTAATTATCCGTATTAACTTTAATCACGAATTCGAGACTGTTTATAGACTTAACGTCTATTTTTGGGACATTGAAACCAGTAATTTTGTACTTTGTGTGTAGATGTAAATGCTACATAATTTCGTAGCTCGAATGAATCTATACACATTTTCCTATCATTTACATAAAGGGCATTTTGAGCATTTAAGAAAAGTTTAATGAACTTGTATGTTGGATTACGTTGCTAAAATATGCCCTCATTCCGCCATGAACAACATGAAGTTCGATTTTCTTTTTTACTATTGCGGCGGTTGACGAAACAACAAAATCAAATCAAATGTTGTTGTCTTATGACTTTGAACAATATCACAGTGTAAGAAACATGTGAACGAACCGTCGATTTTTCGTACGTTCGTCCAAAAATTGATTTTAAAATAATTCCACCCGGTTTTCATTGTCCAAATTTATTGTTCAATTGAATTTGGGTCGAAAAAGATCAAAAGTCAAATACGTGCATTGACAAGTGAGAAAGTTCAACGAAGAAACAATATCAAATTAATAAATAGTCTATACCATGGCATTAGTGCCAGTGTTGCACATCATCTAACAAAAGAAAAGGCAGCAGAAACGTCGAACCGGTAATTTATTTTCAATGGTTAGACTAAGGCAGCAGCAGCAGAAGAAGACCACAAAAAACACACACAACAAATTTGTCGACGGAACGAAATGCGCGCCGGAGATGAGAAAAGAATGAGTTGAAGATTTCTGTGTTTATTTAAGCCATTTGTAAACTCGACACGATGTTGAGAGATAGACACACATAGAGAGAGAGAGAGAGAGAGAGAGAGAGAGAGAGAGAGGCTGAAGAATAACAAAGAGCGTAACCGATAAAAAAAAACCCTATATAATTTCGTATTTCATTGTTTAATCATTCATTTCTTTCTTTTTTTGGGTGTTTTTCGACGGTGTTTTAAAACATGTTCTAAACTGCTGCTAAATAACAGACGAGCACCTAACATATCTTTTTTTTTCTCGGTGTGTTTTGTCTCAGATTTCTTGTTTCAATTTTTTTTTCTTATCAATTAGAAAAACACGAATGGAGTCAAAAAGAAATTACAAAAATTCGGCGCGGTGCCAGTGGTGTGTATATATTTTTTTGGGTTTACTCCCAACTCTTTTAGTTTTCAATCAACCGATTTCGATTTCATCGTCATTTCAGTGTAGACAAGAGAGACAATGCATAACATAACAGGCAACAATTGATAAAGTATCCAATCTTCTGAGACGCCCCGGTCAAGTCATTCAGACGCGATATTAACACATGCACCCGTGTGCACAGACACACAAAATGTGAAACCCATTCACACACACACATGCACACATACGGCTAACCGTAACGCAACGACCATAATGATAGTGATTTAAATGATGATCGATCACGTGCATAATTAGAATTAATAAGACTTGTGAGTAATTTATAATAATTATTAATTTTCCTTTTCTTTTCACGTTTCGTGGTGATCACAAGAAAGCATCAAACCATACAATAGCACCAACAACAACAACAACAACAACAACAGAAAAATGCATCTGAACCTGAACCAATTTTAACGAGAGTATGAAGAAATTAAACGGCAACATTTTTGTTCCTTTGATCGAATTAATTGCATAATACTCGATCGTCCACGATGACTTTCGGAAATCCGATCGTTTTGCTTGTTACATAGCATTCCATTTTGTACAGGAGAGAGAGAAAAATATGATTTTTTCGTTTCAAAGGGAAAAAAATGCATTCGTTTCGACTTAAGTCTGCCAAAAATAATTGAATCCCACTCGTTGAATGCATTTCAATGATAATCGATTTCACAAGCTCAAAATTATTTACGCTTAACATTCGATCGAGTGCCTCTTGCCTTAGATATAGCGATTTATTCAAAATGCTTTACTGTAACGAAATAAAAAAAGAAAACACACAGCACAACTAACAGATGAAGTCAACAAATCGAATAATAAATGCCTTAAAATGAACTGCCATTTACAGATTTAAAATGCACTTTGTGGATCTAGTCTTGTTATCAATCCATATTTTGTATTGAATCGGCATATATAATTATGAAGGGAAGAAGGAAAAAAAAACCGCCAGCCTTAATTGAGAAAATCTTCACATTTATCAACCCACAAGTCGCGAGAAGAAGTGCATACATTTCGTTGCACTTATATTTGCACATGTTCAAAGTCGTCTGCGGCTGTGTGCCTTGCGCGTTTTACGTTTCTTTCTCTTTCGTTCGCTCTAAACCTTCTTTTTTTTCATTTCACGTATTGAATATTATCGAAAATAAAATATCTATAGCATATTAATGCATGCGAATATGTTTTTTTGTTGTTGTTGCTGTGTTCATTTTGTGCTTGCTCTCGCATTCAACGTACTTATTTCATTGTCGAGAGAGATAAATGTAATGAATTGCACCAAAGACGTGTGTACATCGGACACAATATGCTTAAATAATTGCCAATCATATTCAAGCAGCATGCAGCAGACAATCACCAAGTGAATTATTGCAAGAAGTCACACAGAAAAATCTCAAGAAGATTCGCTGCATTTCGCTTGTCTGGTGCGCGCACTCTTTTGTTTACACATTACACAAAATAGAATCGCAGATGCACCGTTCGTTTTTTTTCTCCTTTTTTTTATGCTGGTATGATTTGGTTTTTTTTTTAGTTGTTCAAGTTTTGTTTTATTTGCAACTCTTTTGAAACGGATTTCTGTGAGTGTGTAGAAATTGCGTCAAGGCGAATCCTATTTCTTGGGACAACACGAGGAATGGCAATAAGCCATCGTTTTGCATGGAAAATATCATTAATTTTGAATAGTCTGAGGGCGCCATTGCCGACAATATCTCATTCATTTTCTTCTTCTCACAGGATTAACAATTAAAGCGTATTATGTCGAAACGCACAGTCAATGTCAACCGCATGAATCAATTGTGTGTGTGTGTGTGTGTGTTTGTTGTGTGCACTGGCGAACATCATCACGGGGGTTTTTGAAAAATGGTTTTCTATAATAGACGGCAGACGTTCTTCTCTCGCTAGTTTCTCTATCTCTGATGTCGACATAATTTTTCGCTTATTTGTGATCATTAAACATTTTTAATGGATGGTTGTTGTGTTCTTCTTGTTGTTTTTTTTTATCACCATTACAACACGGGCGAAAATGAGCTTGATCTCTCCACGCTTTTAATGAGAAAATGTGTAATTAATTTGTTAAAAAACGCATCTAATTTGACTCACCTCGATTCAGAGAGGAAGATAGAGAGATAAAATCTCGTTAAAGTTTGTTCCTTGCTGATTCACGTCTCGATTTCAAAAACTGTTCACACACCGTTTGAAAATCCATTTGAATGTCTCAAATTTCCACACGAAACCTTTTTATTTCAGCTTTAAATTCAACGGTTTTTTTTTTTTTTTTATGCGTACGAGAAATGCGTCAACTTACAGACGGTGTAAAATTATCGTGAAAACACACTTTTTCCCTCGCTCTCTCGGTTTTTTTTTCTTTAAAATTTCAAGTGTCGCAGCTATGTAGCACGTTTAATTTGACTGTTGGAGCGGCCAGAAGAAAAAAAACAACTAACGAACGATTTAAATTGCAATTTTTCGCCACAAAGTTTCTGCAAACCGGTTCTAATTGTTTGTTATTTAAAAAAATACAACACCAAAAACAATCATGACAATAACAACATTGAATCAAAATGTGCAGCCAACTAGACAATTGCACACATGCGATTTTGATTCGAAGGCAGCGGTATCGTTCTATTTTCTCGATTCGAAACCCAAAACAACACCGAAAAAAAACAAACGAATTTTCTACTCTATTGAGCTATCGAAGTCAGTTGCATTTTTTCTAAAGTGCCCAAATCACGAGCAACACGTTCGCACCGTAGGCCGACTGAGAAATGATTGTTTGATGGAACGGATGAAATGGTAATGGAAACACCATCGCTAACGCGGCCCGATACAACTGGAGTGTATTGAGAAGCGAATTGGGTAACAACAACATAGAGCTCGCGCTCGTTCACTGCTGCTGCTGCTGCTGCTGTTGTTGTTGGTTTTTTTTTTCTTGTTTTCTACTTCTTTTCATCGGTATGTGTACGACGGATCGAAGAGTGAGCCGCGATGAACAGTCGTTTGCATGTACATTGGTGTACATGTACGCGATCCGAGTCTCTCTCGCCTTAGCGTACATTGCACGCGTTTTTCTGTTCCTTTTTTTTCTTTGCAGTCTTCTCTCTTTCTTTTTCACCTCTACTCTTCTTTTTGATTGTTTCTGCTTCACTTTGTTCGCTCGGGCTGTTGGGCTGTTGGGCTGTTTGGCTGCGACAAACATATGAAGACAAAAACACGACAAGAACCACATTAATATTGCACGGAATATTCACCAGTGCACTTCGATACAATGCCATTCAGTTTTATCGTCTTTTGTAGCATATTTTTTTTATTCGTCCGAGTCTTGATCTCCGTTTTCTTGTTCCTTTTCTTTTTCTCAGGGAGTCTATTTGTTTTTGCATGCATTTTTTCCGCTGAGTTTGTTTTCACTCGATTTTTTATTTTTTATTTTTTCTTTCCTTCGAACTTATTTTGATTTTGTTTTTGTTTGGCGCGCTTTGGCTGCAATGTGTGGTGATGAAGGCGATACTATTTTTCTGTTGTTGTTTTTGTTTAGTTCGTTGTTTTCTTTTATTTTTGGAGCCACATTCATTGTTCGATCTGCACAGTTAGAATGCCTAAGTCTGCATACTTGCCATGAAGAGTTATGCTCTCTTCCTTTTTTCTATCCCGCTCGCTCTGTTTCCGCGAGAGTGTTGTCTCGGGCGATGCGATTTCAAATCGCTTCTCTCTTTCTCAGCCGTTTTTCTGTATGGGAAAAATCAAAGAATTTTACTTACCAATATCTTATTAATGTAACAGACTTGCGATAAAACCATTCATGAAATTTATGGTTTTTAAAGAAGCATTACTTTCCGTTTTGGGTTCGATCCGCGAATTGGGATTATATATATACATATATGTATTTCGTTTGTAGCCGAAGCACTTAGCAAATGCGTGATGCTGCTATGCTTGCGACAATTCCGAACAACAACGGCAACCAATGACTTTAGCTATTATTTTTGTTACGATTTCGATTTTATTTCTCTCGCTCGGTCGATCGTTCTCCCCCTGCTCTGCCCTTGTCGTCAGCGGTCGCCGTTGTTATTGTTGTGTTGATGTTTGCAAACGAAGTGTGTTTCTGAAGAGCTCTTTTTATACAAATGCCCATAAAATTTTACCTCTGTTCCTTTGATCGTTTCAACTGCAAAATCGTTTCCATCTTCGACCGCCGAATAACATCTCGCCGCTTAAAGTTAGTTCACTGGAGAGTTTGTCGTGGACGCAGTGACTCGTTTGCTAATATTGTTTGGCAAATATTACACCGAGATCTATGGCATTCATCGCTTTTGCATCCACAATTGGCGTCGAACTTCGTCCATTCGTCGTCGTGTTTTCCATACCTTGACATTTGTGTAGCTTTGTCATTGTTTTGCATGTTGCACACATAATACAAAACGCTAAGACATATAAGTCTCCTATGCAGATGATAACATCAGTATGGGTTTCAATCAAACATTCAACAATTCGTTTAACATCCGACCATTCCTTAAGCCATCGCTAACAAAACAGAACGATGCTCGCCACTTCTCTCACTTCGTGTCAAAAGTTTAGAAGTGGAAAATTAAAATTTCACCGGCTCATCATCGCGTCGGTTTTAAGTAACGAATTTTACACGTCGCCTCCTCAAAACGATTACATTTCACGACGTTAAATCATCTTGAAGTTAATAATGAGATTCATGGAGCTCATGAACATAATGTGGGACCCCGATACAATACAGATATTTTAGATTAATGACGAAGGATATTGTGTATCGTTTTATGGGCTTTTGAAGTCGTAATAGAACGTTGTGAATATTATCGTCGTTTTCTCTCTCTCTCTCTCTCTCTCTCTCTCTCTCTCTCTCTCTCTATCTACCTCTCTCTCTCTCTCTCCCGTAAACTCTAATAAATTGTGTACATGGTTTTGTCGTGAGTCATTTTCTTCTCTCTTACAGCATTTTGTTATTGGTGCTGTTGCTGCTGCTGAAGCTGAAGCTAAAGTTGCTGCTGCTCTCGCTGTTGCTATTTGCCAAATGAACGCAACGTCCTATCTCAATAGCCATGCAAACATTGCCGTTTTTTCATTGGATATGCTAATATTGGCTCCTAAAAAAATTCACTCACTCATTATGAACAAGTTTAGTGCGACATGTAACGCTTTTTCTATAGTTTGTATTTGTGTATGTATGTAGTGTGTTTGCGCGTATTTTATTCTTTTAACAATTCGTCTGTTGCGAACCAACCAATAAATGCGAGTGTGCGATGTGCGAATATGCGGACACACGTCAAAAGATATAACGCAATGCCTGTGTGCCGCTAACAATGGGACAGCTAATAATATAAGAAACCGAGATACATCCCACGCACCAAGCCAATGGAGTACAATTTTTATTTTTTGCGTTTCATGCCATCGTATTGTGCGACTTTTCAATATAGTGAATTGAAAGTGAGTTCATCATCACCACTGCACACCATGTCTTGTGATGTGCAAGCAAATACAAACAAAAACAATAGTCAAGGACATAAACTATGAATTGTATTAGGTTCGGATTGGAGCGCCTTGATTAATTTGACATGGACAATTAGTTGATGCATTCGACAGAAGACTGGTTTTATAATGGTAGTAGGTTCGGATTTGGCATTATTTTAGATAATTTGTCAATGATTCACAGAGAAATCTCAATAAATATACCGAAAAACACCATTTTCAATAATTCAAGGAAGGGCTATTTGCTTTCAATTTCTTTCCAAATGCAGAACTCAATCTAGAATTGATTTTTGAACCGAGGAATTAATTTGCAATTCCTTTCTTACTTTATATATAAGATGTATTCAATTCAATCTAAACGTATCACAACAACCCAACTTGGTCAATCAATACAAAAAGTAGAAATTAAGTTAATTACAAGTCGAAACATACGGCACAATTAAGAAACGTGAGAAAGTCGAGCTCATTCTCGAACAGATGCGATTATGTTATGCGAAACAGGATTCAACACGGGCTCAAGTTGCACTCTCAGCTACAACTTTGCCAAAGACAGTAAGAAATGTAGCATTTAATGATTGCGTTGTGTTTGGAAGGTTTGTCCTAACTATTTGGGGGAATTTTATGAATAAATAGAGTGAAAATGTTCTTTTTCTTGTATTGGTTATCATTGATTGTTTTATCAAAAGTGTTTATTCTTTCATCTAACTCTTAAATGATACGTGTTTGATGGATGATCGTTTATTTCGTGTAGATGCTCATCTCCTGGTCGAGACTGGATTTTGTATTCACCATGTATTGATCTAGCTCCGCATCTAATTGCTCTTTGCTCTTTGGTGGCTCACGTTTCACTGTGAAAAGTAAAATGTTCAATTATCATTGGCTTCAGAAAACAAGACAAACAAGAAACAAATGTTCAAAAGTAAATACAAACCAATTTTCTTCAGAGATCGACCTCGTGCTGGTTGTTGTTGTTGTTTGCCTCGTTGACGATTTGCTCCACGTTGTTGTTGTTGTTGTTGTTGGTTAGCACCTTTGCGGGTGCGAGATTGATTGCGTGGCCCATTTCGTGCTCTATTTCATGAAACAAATAATCGATTAACAAAGCATTTCAAAATAATTTCCGAAAACGTTCTGTGACCAAACAGTTTGCGTAATACACAAAATAGAGAGAAACTTAAAGAATTTCCATAAGAAACCTGTTTAAACAAACGTCTTATGGCAAAATGGGAATTGATAAAACATGAAAATATATTAGGGGAACCTTGATTGCGATCGACCACGTTGTTGTTGTTGTTGTTGTTGTTGTTGTACGCCATTTCCAGTGCGTGGATTTGTATTTTGTCGTTTGTTGATTCGTCCGCGTTGAACTGTTCTAAGTCCCTGCTTGTTTGGTTGGCGTTTTCCAAGCCTTTGCCCTGGTCGCTGCCCGACTCTTTGTCCTGGTCGCTGCCCGACTCTTTGTCCTGGTCGCTGCCCGACTCTTTGTCCTGGCCGCTGTCCAACAGCGTTTTGGCGTCTGACTCCGAGGCGAGCATTGACTGATGCACTTCTGCGTACATTCGTTCGAGATTGACTGCGAGAGCGGCGTCGTACAATTGCCGCTCTTTGTGGCTGTTGTTGTTGTTGGCCCTGACCACGAAGATTCAAGCGGCTATTTGAGGGATTCAAACGGAGTGGGGCGCCGCCTTGACGCTGGCGCGACGCTGAACGTCCACGTAAATTTTGCTTTGAATTCGTGCGCGTTAAATTGATTCGATTTCGGCTTGCCGATCGAGCTCTCGATCTTGAGGCAGCACGTTCGCCAACTGGATTATTGCGACGCAGTCTCGGCCGGCCACGAACGCCAAGCTGTTCGGTGAGATTCAATGTTGAATTGGACCGGGTCAAACGACGTACACGCTTCACATTCTTTATCAGATCCGCTTTGATGCTGTTGGATTTTTTTTTTGTGGAGGAGGAAAGAATTGAAGACCAGAGATTATTTTCAATATTTAGATTTGAATTCGAATGTCGCAAAGCACTCATTCAAACAATGTTCACTCGAGCCGAACGGTGTGAGTCGAAGGTTAAAATGGAACGCCTAAACGGCGCATTTCAAAGGGATCATTTTGATTTGTTTTTTGATTCGATTTTCTAGGTCAATTTGCCGTTTCAGTTGGTTCATTTATTGCTCCCTTGATTTTGTTTCAGTCCGGAGTCAAAATGATTAAATTGATGAGCCGTGTGTCAAGTATTTGCTCGATACTACTCTGAAATTTCGATTCGACTGTGGTTTAATCGTTTCATACGGGCAAAATAAAGTGATCCCGAACCCATTCAGTTCAGTTCTCTTTGGCTCAAATCATTTGGATCTGAATGCTTTATGCTTGTGTTGTACGATGTAAATTTTGGTTAAAATTTCTATTGATTTCATCGAATTTGTTCATATGATTATTATTTTTTTGTTTCAGTCTCAAATTATAGTATGTGTTCTTACGTTGCGATCTGTTTGGCGACACTGTTTGAACGACGCAAACGTCTGCGTGAATTTGCTGTATTTATCAATGATGCAGCTGATGGTCGAATCAATTGTCGACGTCCTCTAACGCCAATCGCGTTTTGGGGCTTTATTTTCATGCTTCTCTGCAAACACAATAAGTAAAGAAAAGAAAATTGGTTTTGGTTATTCGTTTTCGCCCCGAAATTTCGTTCGTGACGAATTCAACATCGCACGAATACTGCATTTCGTGTGTGGTGTGTGTGAGCGAGAAAGTGCAGGCGTATATGATGCGGCTGATCGGTCATTGGCTTTAAGAACGAATGCAGCCATTTGGTTTGAGTTGATTAATTTATCAACAGTCGCCACTGTTGGTTCGACTGTCTGCGATTGCACCACATCGCAAATGGCAGAAATTACACAACACCAACTATACACCGAAAATACAAATACTGATTTTCATTGTTGTTCGGTTTTTGGCAGATTATTTTCATGATGAATCGATGGTTAAGGTATGCGATTTCCAATTACGTACTCGTTTCAACTTGAGTGCAACGCGAAGTTTGTTGTCCAGTTGATTCAGCAGATTTCGATTGCGTTGTGTAACTCGTGGCGACACTGGTACCTCAGCAATGTGTGGCACAAGACGTGAACGTGATCGAGAACGGCTTCTAGCTCTTGGTCGTGGTCTTGGTCTGGGTGGCATCGGTGCACCACCACTCTGCTTTTGCATGATTGTAAAGCGATCATTCAGCGACAATACTGTCGACCCGTTCAAGTGGACCTTGCCAATCGATGACATATTCACACTTTCAATTATTCACGTCTGACTAATCAATCGTTCATGCAGTTCTACTATTTATGCCTTTTCTTATCGCGTATGACACACTGCGAAGCTATTCACTTTTTTCCTGTTTTTGCTTGGTTTCTTCTCTCTCTCTCTTTCACTCTTTTTCTCTCTTTTTCGGCTATCGATTCAATCTACAATCAGAGAAGGAATTACAACGCATTTTCATTAATTGTAATCGTATTTAACTTGTGAGGCTACCACTTTAAAAGTAGCATTATTCATCATCCATTTAAAATCAAAAAAGAACAAAGAATGCATATATTAAAAACTCAAGTGGAAATTGTGTTTTTTTCCCTTCGGATATTTCCATATATGGACTCAATTGCGTTAGATTTGCATACTACTTACCAAAAACACTTTCACTTGTTATTATTTCGAAACTACTTCGATTGGATTTGATGTAAAAACTGTTTTGCTTCGAGTTTTAAACAAATTGAATGACGAAAAACCAAATAATTCTGTTTATTTTTACAATCAACGTGCCGAATGCATAGAAAATACTTGAATGAGCTATGATGGCGATATTACTAATTATAAAAGTTACACGTTTGCAGTGTTTCTCACCAGGCGGCGACACTTGTCAAGTGGTCATTAGGAGTTGTCAAAATCATACGAAGCCACACACCAAACCAACTGCTGACAAAACTACGAACTAAAGATACGAAACGCAAAGTCCCCACCATTTCGGATTATTTTAAACATTTTGCATTTATTTTAAAATTTACTAATGTTAAAATAGACTTAATCGTTCATTTGTGCTGCCAACGAAGTTATTGGAATTGTATTTATTTATGTTTTTTTTTACAATTGAACGAACGTTTTTGTCGTTCGGAGGCTCCGGCACATTCGATTGACTCTCATTTGGACTTGTTTCTCTTCTTTTTCGAATCGTTATTGTTACTGTTTATTTGCTTTCGTTCGATATGAATTTTTTTTTGTTTTGTTATAATTGCGATTATTTTTATATATTCAATTTTAGTTATCCCTTTGTTCCTTTGACTATTCGTTAAAAATTAGCTTAGACTAGAAATTAGTTACGTACTTAATAAATTTATTATAACATGGATGGCAGACATAAACAACATCTAGTCTATTCATCCAGGCAATAAAATCTGTATAATTTTTCTGCTTCATTTTTTTTGTTCGGTTTGTTTAGTTAAGCGAATCGAGCATTCTTTACAAACGGACTTTGAGCGATTCCATACGTTGAATTATTCTTTGGCGCAAGTCAGCGTATCTGAAATTAAGAAGAGATATATGTGTTAAAAAAATGATATTTTAAAGTGTGAAGTTCTTCAAGTTATTCCAATAAAGAAGGCAATTTCCAATTGCAACAACTTACTTTTCTTTGATTTTTTGAACTTCCCTTGCCTGCTCCTCGTTATAACGATCTAGGATGGAGCGACATTCTTGGATCGACAAGTTGATAAATTGAGCAACTTCACAGCTATAAAATCGAAATGAAAAATTAATTGCTTTGTTTTGTCCTCTTTTTTGCAAATAAACGCAATTAAATCGATGATTTACCTAATTTCAGATGTGTTGTGAGCATCGGTTAAAAATAGCCGAGCCACATCTTCGTGCGGTCCGAGCATTGTTCGCACCAACAATGGATAGTCGTCATCTTTCAAACGACGTTGTTCACCGTTGTCTCGAATTATGAATAATGCAAAATTCTCCGGTCGATTATCCACTTTATATTTTTCGAGCAACAAATTCACCGCCTCTTGTGTGCTAACCAACGACGTTACCCATACGCTCATCTGTGAACCGTGCGGCGGTGTGAAGAAGGACGTTTCACGATTGTAAAAATGACCATTAATTGAGCAGCGACGCTTCAGTTTGGCACGTGCCCTACATGGAAAATGGATTAAATTGAATTTTAGTTAAATTATAAAAAGCTGTGAAATTGAAAAACAATTATACCTTCGATTTCCCGATCGTCTTTTGATTGCAGTTGAGCCGGTTTTCGGTTTTCGTAGAACAACAACGCATTCATTCAAATCATCGTCCAGATCATCGTCGAGTGGAGATGTCGGCGTGTTTAAAGTGGTGGTTGATGCTTCGCTGGTGGTGCTGCTCACCCCATTTCGAATCTCATCATAACAATCCATCTTAATGTGGATCGATCGTTTGTGGATTGTGGCCGGTTTCAGTGTGGCTGAACTGTCATCGCTGTCATTATCGTTTAAATGTTGATTTCGATACCAATTCGGTCCCGATCTTGACCGATTGATGCCATTATCCGTGGAAGCACTCAGATCGGACGAGGAAGACACAGCCGTCGAACCTGATTTTTTCAGCGCATAATTCGTGGAATTCGACGAATCACTCTTATTGTTATTCAATGTTTGATATTGAATAGATGATGGCACTTCTCTAAATGCTGCTTCACCGCTAAAGCTTTTACTCATTATATTCTCACTGTATAGCTTAAGTGAATCGTTGATGCGCGACGGATCAATCGGTTGTCTCGATTTAAGCGTATCATCATTTGAATGCTGCAATTCACTCGAATTTTGAATAAATTCTTCGCGAATTTGACGCTTGAAATCATCAAAATCGACCGGTTTCAATGTGTTCATTGGTGTATAAAACTCATCATCGTTCGATTTATTCGTTAAAGTGCTATTGTCGGTAGTGATTGAACGTGTAGTCTCAGCGGATTTGTAGTCGGTTTCGGTTTTTGAAATGTCATTCGATTCACTTTTCGATAAATCATCCGGTTGAGTTGATGACGATACACACGCAACGTTTGACTGAATCGATGACTGTTTCTCGGGGCTTGACTGTGATGATGCTGGTGATGGCAACGTTTGATACATTTTTTCATTGCTATTAACGTGACGTTCAACCTGTAGCAATTCATCAAGCTCATCACGTTCCACAACTTTACCGTCCAATTTCGTGGGCAGTGTTGTGTAACGATGGTCCGGTGAGACTTCTTTGGAAGACGGGCCAGACGTCAACGAATTAATGTCTTCATTAAAACTACATGTATCGAACGAAATGCTCTCAGTCATTGAAATGTCGGTTGTGTCGCCGCCATCAACTAAACTTGATGTGCTCACATCACCTGATTCGTTTACATCGAGATTCTCTTTCACTGATGCACCATGAACTAGTAACTGTAGCACAGAAATATGTAAATTAGAGGAGTTTTTCTTGTCGATGATAAATCACCATTCATTTCAAATGAATTTTTTTTCAGACAACTTACACTTTTCTCCGAACTGAAATCGGTTGAATTTGAATAGCGGCACGAATTCCGTTTGCGAACGGTGACCACGGTGCGTTGATCATCGTCCTCCTTCAGATGGATCATATTTTGTACACCCCAATAGACGCGCAATGCACCTTCAAGAATAAGTCGACCGTTCACCTCACGGCTCCGTATTTCATGACTCTTATTGTCAAAGTATTGATTGTACTGCTTTAGTTTCGCTTCGATTTGTTCGCGAGGGAATGGCATTTGGCCACTGTTGACAGCTTTCGGTGTCAAACCTTTGGCTCCGAAACTTTTGTGTGACTCAACTCTTGTGCCATGGCCGAATAATTGCGGCCCGAACAAAGCACCATAACAAGGTACATGACAATATGGAATTCCCTTGTGCTCCGCATGTTGACCGGGATTCAGTCTCTTTCCACATTCTTCACATCGCAAACATTCCGGATGCCAATCATAGCCCAGTGATTGTTTTCTTTCAGCTATTTGTTTTGGAAAAAAGTAAAAAAGAAACCGTACATTAGGTTGTAATCCGTTTGCTGTGTGGAGTTTTTAAGATTCACACTAATTGCTCGAGACTAATGAATTTTTAACGTATTCTACAGAGTTTTGCAAAGTTTTTTTTGCCATTCAGATGCAATTGACATTACAGAGGTCATTGACATATCTGCGCAGGCAAAATAACAAATCAAATGAATGTCTGAATGGTTCTTCGTGTCATTGAGGTTATTTATGATTACCATTTATATGGAAGACACACAAAAATTGATTTATTTTCAGCACAACAAGCATCAATTCCATCAAATATCTCACAACCGAACACCATAATGAACATGAGGACACAAAACAACGAAGCATTTAAAATCGGCATAATTGTCGAATATTACTCACCGAAATATACTGGCTTTGAACATTTATGGCACTGCCACATTTTCTGTTTCACCTAAAAACAATCACGCCTCACATAAAGCAAAACTTCAAAAATGTGTCGATCCGTCGAAAAAAAAGTGCACATCAAATAAATGTTTAATCGTGTCGCTGGTTTTTTTTTATTTTGAATGACAGCGAAAAATGCACAAAACACACAACGAGACTCCGAACCAAAGTGTGGGACTTGAACAGAGCAAACAAAGATTTAAATTCGTAATGCACATACGAACGATGTGATAATTTTATTTTATCTAGAGTCGTTGATTTATAAATCGTATCAGAATATGGTTCGACTGGCACAGTAAGCACATTGGTAATATTGTGTGTAAGATGAAAGAAGACACAATAAACAATTGAAAACTAAATTGATATGATAATCAGTAATGGACAAAACCGACAAACTGAATCAAAGAAAATGACAACAAAAAAGATTATTTAGTCTACAGAAAAAAAAATCGTCATTGGCTACGTATTTCTTTTTGTTTTTCGATGAAAAAAAAATCCTCAAAAATGATGTGGACACCGAAAAATTATATTTACACAAAAAATAAAAGAGAATATAAGAATGAAAAGTGTGTGATGAATTTGGTGTGGTAGTGTGTGCCTATAGAAATTGAACATGAGATAAATTGAATATTCATCTCTCATTCAAGATAAATGTCAATAAGTGTTTCAGAGGTCGCCACATACAAAACCAACGATGAACAGCGACGATGATGTATTTGCTGTTGTTACTGCTGTTGTTGCTGTTGCTGCTGTTTTTCACCATTCCAAATGATCTATGGGGAATACTTCATCGTCTGATTGGGGAAGGAGACTTTTGCTCTTATGTAAAATCGAATATGGAGAATGCTCGATCAAACGAGCTAGCGAATGAATGAATTTATCTTTCGATGGGCCGAATTTGAAATGCCAGAATTTTATGTTATTTAAATCAAAATGAAAAATTGTTTTATTTTCTTTATTCTTTTTTTTTTTTACTCTTATTGTGTATCTACATCAAATCATCGAAATATTCCACCTAATTTTGTTTCCTTTTTCAAGTGGTTGAAAGAAAAAAGAAAAGAAAAAGAAACACAAAAAAAATAATCGTTTATCCGAATATATATTCAAACGTACACACGCTTTTTTCTGTTGATTATTTTTTAGTAAGTTTTTTTTCTTCATCATTTTCATTTTGAAATTGATCCCGTTGTGAATATTTTTTTACTATTTTATTCTTTGTCTCGTGTGTGATTGCTGAGTTCATCGTATTGTGTATATGTATGTGTGTCTGTGTAGTATGGTGAACGTGTTTGCGGCAATGGATCAATTGGTTTTTTTTTTCTCGATATTATTTTCGCATTTTGTTTGTTTGTTTATCTTCATTTAAATAATTTTTTTTTCCTTTTTCAATTACAAAATGTGGGAATCCATTTTTTTCTCTTCTGGTTTCATCAATTTAAATATAATTTTTTTTGGGGGGAAAGTGAAGGAAATCTGTTTCTTTTTTTTTATTAATATGCTGTTGGTATTGGCCCATTCAGCAGCACCCAGATTTGGTGTTTTCAATCGGACGACCTTGATCGATTTTCACTTTGCTAGCCGTTTCGGTTGCACTCGACGGTGGTCCAACGCGATTCTTGATTTCGGCAGCCATAGTCATGAAAGCCTGTTCAACGTTAGTTGCATTTTTGGCGGATGTCTCAAGGAATGGAATTCCCAATTGGTTGGCATATTCCTGTATGGAAAAGACAAATAAATAAGAGGAACTTGACTAGAAAGACATTAAAACTAAATGAAGCAACAAATTGGTTGCCACCAAAATTGAATTGAATAGAAGAAAATGGCCGCATTGGATTTGCCAACCGACAGACAGGCATACCATTGCCGTTGTATGATCAACCACTTTCTTTGTAGTTAAATCGCATTTGTTTCCAACCAGCAGCTTGTTCACATTTTCGCATGCGTAGCGCTCGATTTCTTCCAGCCATTGCTTAACATTATTGAATGATTCTTGATCTGTACAATCGTACACTACGATGATACCATGGGCTCCACGATAGTAAGACGATGTGATCTGATTTATGGAGGGGGAGAGAGAATGAGAAAAACAAATCAAATCAATTAGAACACAAACTCAATTCGAGTGTACAATTTTGATTTGATTACTTACGGTTCGGAAACGCTCCTGACCAGCAGTATCCCTTTTGATGAAAACACAAAATTTATGTTAATCAATTGTAGTTTGAGAGGCGTTTTTTTTTTCATTTTCTTTCTTTGATTCACTTACCATATTTGCAACTTTATCGTTTTGTCATCAAGTTCGATGGTTCTAATTTTCTATGGGGTCAAACGAAAATGGAAAATAATATGTTAGCTAGGTTTTATTAGCAAATATGCAAATCGAATCAATGTGAATGGAATGCAATGCCTCTAAGAAAGTCTACTTACAAAGTCAACGCCAATAGTACTGATATAGCTTTCTGTGTATGTATCATCAGCGAATCGCAGCAAAAGACATGATTTGCCGACGCCAGAATCACCAATCAAGAGAAGTTTGAACAAGTAATCACTGAAAAGTTGTTTACACGGAGCGAGAGAATTGAAAAAAAAAAAACATTAAATAATTTTTCAATTAAACATTGAAATTGAGTAAATTTTTTTTTGTCAATGCTTATTATATAAATGCAGATGACCTTTTGAGCATTATTCTACCGTGTAATACATGTTGAAAGTATATGATCACCAGTTTTTTTTTGGTCTGTATTCGCAATATTTTGTGTAATACACGAGGGTAAAACGTGGTATCGTTCGGATATTGAATTGGTTTTGCCAATAAAAATGAACAAAAAAAATATGGCAATAAAATCAAGACTTTTGTATAAATATTTGATTTGTTCCATTTTATGCGCGAAAAATTTCATGATAAAATGCTTGCATTTGCTTTGCGTTGAATGCAGCAAAAATTAAGAAGCATGTTGAAAAATAGATATTAAGAACACAAACATGGTCTTTGATAAAAGAGTTGAACGGAGCAAAGCACGTATTGTAACGGGTGCATGTATATATTTTTCCATAAATAAACTATTCATTTGAATGTCGTTTGAGTACATTTCTTTTGTTCGAGGAAGAAATCTGCGCTGAATCATTTTATTTATACCAGAAAAAGAGAGAAAATCGCATATCACAAACAGAACTGATAGCAGTGAACAGTCAGAGAAGAAATATTTGATTGAAATGAAATTGAAACGAAAAAAAGGCAACTCAGCTGTTATGACCAATCTTCCATGTCATTTTTGTAGCGTCATTATCGGGCAATAGAAGTGGCTCACATAAAACATAAACAATCAGAGCATTCTCTTTGTAATTCGTTTAATCGCCTCTATGCTTCGGTTCGGCTTTCTTGCCGTCATATGCGCTTGGTTTGTGTTCTTTGTTCAAAATTTTCAAGGGGCGTCTGAGTACGGGTACTATGAACGACAATGCTTCTAGGAGGAAAAAAAATGTGTGCATAGACGAATAAAAAAAAATGTTTGTCCAAACTTCGAAAACAAGTGCTAGAAAATTGTACTAAAAATCAGTCAAAGATCACGTATGTGCCACGCTCGTTCTCGCTCTCTCTCTTCCTCTCAGATGTTGCCAATGATATTAGAATAATAAGAACATGAGCAATAGGTAAATTGAGCGACTTTGGTGTTAGTTTGGGCTTTGGATTTGTTGTGTTATGTTGTTTTTTACGCTTCTTCTTCTTCTTTTTTTTCTTATTCTTCGTTGTTGTTCATGTGTGAGACATGAGCCGTGCATTTGTGTTGGTGGTATAAAATTTTAACCGAAGCGAGAGTACGGTGTAAAACCTATAGCAACAGAATGCGACAGCTAACATTTCAATAGCAATGCTATGCGCAAACAACGATACATATACCAACACTGTGTGGTATGCGTGTGACTCATAATTGTTGGGGGGAGTTGTTTGAGTTCAAAATCATATTATACGACGCGCGGATCTATGAGTGGAAGAAAAACGATATGATTGAATACATGAATATACTCTGACTGTTCATATGAAGCGAACACACAATGAATATATTGCTCTTCCATTCGGGTACAACTAATCATCATTTGAACGGGCGAAGACAGGAAAAAAACAGCAACAACTATACACACGTATGTAGATGTGTGTGTGTGTGTGTGTGTGCGTGTATGTACGGAATGCAAAAATATTCGTATAATTGTGGAAATGGAGTCACCATCACACAAACTAGAGAATGGTTTTAAAAATGACGACAATATCGACGACAAAATGATTCGAACTAAAATGAGAATCACCTTTTTTTTCTTATATGCATATGTATCGTATTTAGAAAATGAGATCGACAATCAAATCCAAGTCCACAGACTATTGCGTTTTAATTTATAAGAAATAACGCGCTGACGATGTAAATCGTGAATGGGGGAAAAAAGTAAACTTTTAAGATTATTACGCAGCCGTTTATTTTATTATCAGCCTTTGGAAAACAGCGAACAAAATTCCGAATAACATTTTTGTTCGGTGTATTTGAATTGTGTAGTCTCCGTGCAATTTATACGGCACAGATGCATCTATGGAGAGAAAAAAAGTTTGCTATTGACTCACAGCCGTATGCGTGTAATTAGTCTGATTCACAACAAAAGCATAATTGATTTTTTTTTCTTTCTTTTTTTTTCTACAAATTGCTCTGCACAACGCAAATATTCCCATTTCTTTGTGTTTTAATTTCTGGTTAAAAACAAGCGCTCGAAGTTGTAATGTCACACGACCCCAAAAAAAAGAGGAGAAAAAAAAGTAAAACTCCTATGAGCTCTTTGTGTTAGAACGAAAACTTTTTGTTTCATTATTATGTATTGGGGTTTAATTTTCATAAATTTCGTCGAACATATAACCAGGAAAAATGATATATATATATACATATCAATCACACATAATCGGTAGAAAAAGGTATCCACACATCGATGGTGGGGTAGTGAACGGAAAGCGAATCCAACAAAAAGATCGCTTTTGATACGATGCCATTAACTAAATTTTTTTTTCTTCTGCCTTTCTTTATACGACTTTTTTTTTATCCAATCAATTTTTGAACCAAAAACTTACTATTCAGGACTCATAGCCGACATTTTCACTAAGATCGGTTATTTATAACGCGTTTTAAATAAATTTTAAACAATGATACACTTAGAAAATAATTAAAAATTATAATTCACTATTTTCTCCACTATTGAAATTTGATGTCTGTGAAAAAGACACTTCACTGTGTTTTTTGATGACAAGGAACAATGGCTACGACTACGATGCGCGATAAATGACGTATTTTTTTTTGTATGTTTCGTTCTACGGTGAATGTATTTGTATTTCGGGCAAATCCATGCCAGCTCACAGCGCACAAACTTTAACTGGTGTGTGGCGAGAGATCTTGTCTTTGCGTTGTGTCGCGTTTACATTATTTCACCACCAGAGCGGTGTGGTGTGTAGTACCACTGCCACACAACGATTTCACCACACCAAATGAAACTCCCCATCGATTTGAACAAACTGAGCGATTTCATTCTGTGGCACACACACATTTATTGCAAATTCTTAAATTTAAAAAAAATTGAACAGCCTTTTGTTTCTACTAGACATATTTGTTTTAAAGCTAAACACGAACACGATATTCACTCAAAGTACTTCATATGATTTATGATCCAGTCAATGTATTTGTCCACTCTGGTAAAATGAAAAGTTGGAAACGATTATCATTAGTGTGATTTCGAACATGGACGTTTTACGGCATATATCATCCAACTGGAACTAAAATGGAATAAAATAGATACACACCGAGTATAAACGCCAGCAAAATTTGCTTGAGCACATTGTGATAGTCCAAATGAAACAATTCCTACGGCATACCAACGCGGTGGATCAACAGTCTCTTCGTCGTCATCATACCACATAAGTGGTGATCCACTATCACCTGTGAGATAATTTTAAAGACGATTAACAATTATGTGAAAAATGTAAGAAAAAATATGACTCACCTCGGCATGAATCGTATCCTTCCTCGCCACCGGCGCACATCTGCCCTTCATTAATCGACACATTGAAACGTTTGTACATTTGATCGCATCTTTGTTTGGAAACACCATTCAATGTCACTTGCATCTTTTTATTGCTACTTTTTGCTGTAACGACGTGAGATTTCATTCAAATGTCATTTCTTTTTCAATTTTTCAGATTTGCTCAACTAGTTTTGGTTTTGTTTAGATAAAGAAAGGACACAATATGTGTTCGGAGTATATGTTACCATTTGGCAATGAAGATGTGTGTCCCCAACCGGCTACATCCATTTCGATATTGTCATAGTTTTTATTTGCCATTTGCTTTTTAATCGGTAAACAAATTGGTCGGATCCATATAGTTGGCATTACACTATGATCTAGCAGAATTAAAGCAATGTCATGTGCATGGCTGACCGCATCAACTCGATAATCCTCGTGTAATATCACTTCTTTTACTGGAACATCTAATACAGCGTCTGAACATATTCTATTTTGGCAATCATTTTCACTGCTTACATCCCATTCACCAAGCCTCACTGAAATCCTTGAAATCACTCACTAAATATTCAAATTGCATCTCTTTTTCTTTACTTTCGTGCATTGTGAATACTTACAGTTTCATTTTCAGTTTTTTCAGCAAGTCTTCTGTCACACAATGAGCGGCTAAAAATACATAATGATAATGATCGCGGTAAATGTGATATTTTTATATTAACATTCTCAAATAGATTGCCTGTACAAATAAATACCAGTGAGTACGTAATCTTTGTTGATTAAAACCCCTCCACAGTGAAAGCCTGTTCCTTGAGCTGTCTCAAATACAAATAAAATATGTTTATGCAAAATTGCCGGCAAACGTAAAAACGAAATCTCAGTAAATTAACGAATTATGAATGACATACATTTCTCGTACCGCAATAGCGTTAGCCATGGTGAATCGTAAATTCTGGCTTCTTTCCCACCGATTATGTACTCCAATCGCAAATTATGATTCAGATGCAATCTGCCACAGTCGGTTGGCAAATCGTCAATTTTAAGCGGTGAACCGTCAAATCGGGTTGTAATGTTCTCGGCCTTTGGACAGCATACCAATGGTGTTAAACCAATGTGTCCACAAAGGCTTCGTTTCAAAAACAGACGATCTGCAATTCGTAGACGTTTCTTATTGGCCAAAACATTCAAAGCGGAGCAATCTTTCAATGGTAAACACAGTCCTTTTCGGTTGTTCGGCATCCAACACTCTCCAAATCCGTCCGTGTGTCCTATTTTGCAAATAAATTCATATGGAAACATTAAATAATTCGCTAAATTGTTGAAAATTAACCAACCGATTCGTCTGTGGAAAAAAGATTCACTTGAACAAGCATACGTCAAAATAACTATACAAATTTTAAGCATAAACATTTCTCTTGAAATTTTTCACGTTGCATTGAGAACAATTAACAGAAACAATAACAAACAGGTAGTTTTCGATTGGTAAACAAGTGAGTTGTGTTGTGTTGTGGTGAATGTGTTGAATTCGGGAACTGTCACCAATCGTATTGCAATAATATTGGGGCGTTCTTTGATGACGAAACTGACATTGACATTTCGGTTTTGACTGCTTCATTGAAAACACACCGAAACATAACAAATTGAGTGGTGACTGAAGGCGATTACAATTCAGGATGATATCACAGTATATGGAAGAGTTGGAGCAGGTATGCTTGATTTGAATCGATCAACCGAAATATGAACATTTTAAATTTATGACTAAAATGATTACAGGATCCATTCGATGTGGCCGAATTTATAGAGCGATTAACCTGGCGAACGAACAATGAAGTGGGCAGTGATCAATTCGATTCGGAATTTTTGCATGACACATTTTCGCAAACAATCAAAGATTTAAAGGTGTTGCAAGAGCGTCAGCAACGGAAATGCGAACGATTAGAGGAGATTTTGCGTGATGAACAGACAATACATGCAAAGAATATCGAAAAACTGCAGGAAAGGCATCAAACATCGGTCGAATGGTTTCATCAACTGGATGAGAAGATAAACTCAGTCGCAGGCAAAATTATTCATTTGGGAGAGCAGCTAGAGAATGTGAACACGCCACGAAGTCGAACGGTCGAAGCGCAACGTCTTCTGAACCATATGAGAGAGTTTTTGGTTCGTGGACCGATCGTAAATGATTTGTTCAGTGATAAGACTCGACTGTACGAAGCGGCCGATGTTATACAAAAGCTATATACAATTGCCCAAGATTTGCCCGCCGATAAGTTTAGCGAGGCAAAGAAGAAAATTGAAATGAAATATGATGAGATCGAACGGAATTTGATCGATGAATTTGCAGCGGCTCAGAAACAGGAGAATATTGACAAAATGAAAACGCTAGCGTCGATTCTGTCCCAGTTCAAAGGCTATTCACAATGCATCGATGCGTACATTGAACAAAGTCAAATGACAACGTACGGTGAAAAGAGCCTATTTGCGCAGATTTTACCAATGTGTCGCCATCATTATTCGGTTATAAAACGTGTGTTTAGTAGTCCAGATCAAGTCATGTCGAAGTTCATTCTGAATATTTATCATTTGAAATTGTTTCAATTCGCCCAAACCAAGTTGGAAGATCGTCGAGACGATGATAGATACCTACGCACCCTATACGATTTATACTCACAAACCCGAAGAGTTAGCACCGATTTGGCTGAATTTGAAATTGGCATGGACGATAATTTGCTAACAAAACTTACTACTAACATTTTTGTACAACATTTGGCGACCTACATCGAGGTAGAAACTCGAAGTCTCAACGCTAAATGCTCACTGGAATTAAAGCGATTCTATGAGAGTAAAAAGCATCAAAAGAAACAAGCCGAACGTTTTCAGGACCTTCGGCGAGACGTTCAAGCACTCATTGGCACCCGCGCAAACATAAACATTGCACAAATCGAAGACTATGGCGGTGAAACATTCATATCCGAAGAATTGGCAATAAATCTGCTGCAAGAATCCAAAGCTGCCTTCAAACGATGTAGACTGGTAAGCATACGATCATTTAGCATTTATAAAATGGAAAAATAATTGTCATTCGGTTCGATTATAGTTATCCAAAGACGAGGATCTTCCTGCCAATATCATTCGCTTGGCCGACATTTTGCTGCGCTATTTAATGCACGAGCACGTTGATTATGCAATCGATTTAGGATTGCAGGCGATTCCAATTGCCGAAAGCAAAACAGTGCCTCAAATCTATTTCTTTGATGTGGTTCAAAAAAGCAACACAATCGTTCATCTACTGGATAAATTGTATGCAGCTAGTGTCATACCATGTGTTGAGTGAGTCAGAAAAACTATACATTTTCTTATTTCGGATAATTTCATTTTTTTTAATTAAAAATTATTCCCGCAGATCGACATCCAGGTACACGGAATGTTTGACAAAGAAACGGTACATGCTGGAGCAAATTGAAAGCAAACTCGATACCGGGTTGGATCGTGCAATCAATGCACTACTTGGATGGGTGAAAACATATCTGCAAAGCGAGCAACGGAAGACCGATTTTAAGCCTGAAAGTGACTTTGACACAGTCGCTTCGGCCGCTTGTCAGCATGTTGTTCAACAAATCATTCCGATCATAAAGCAAATTCAGAAGTATCTGGACGGTGAAAATCTGAAGAGTGTCACCAATGAAATCGGTATTCGGCTTCATCGCACCATTTATGAGCATCTCCAGCAATTTCAGTACACAACAGCCGGTAAATGCAATGAAAACCATGAATTAATGAGAGAAATTCTACTTGAATTACTCTTCTAATGATTTCGATGGATTTTTTTTCTTTTCATTTCAGGTGCCATGTGTGCAATTTGTGATGTGAATGAGTATAGAAAATGTGTTCGTGTTCTAAATAGTCCAATGGTGACGCAATTGTTTGACATTTTACATGCTCTTTGCAATCTACTCTTGGTGAAACATGAAAATCTGCAGGAAGTGTGTGGTGGAGATACACTGGTATGTGTGGATTTGAAATAGTCTAAATCAATCTTTTTCTACAAATATATGATTCCACTGAAATTAACACCTAGTTTCTTTTTATTTACAGAATTATTTGGATAAGTCGGTCGTTTTGAATTTTATCCAATTGCGAAGTGACTATAAAACAATCAAAATAACGAATTCACTGAAGGGAATCTCGGAGCAAAGAGTCTAGATTAATTTCAAATTAGATAATAAATATTATACGATTTATGTTAATTGCTGTTTCGAAAAAAAAACGCGCTTGAATTATTATTAATAAATTACTGTTACTTGCTAATAAACAAAAATTTACTAGTGATATTTTGATTGAAACTCGTCGTATAAAAAGAAAACTTATAGTATGAAGATTACCGCTTTTTAATCATTGTCGATGTTCATAAGTTTATACTACTTGTTTTTACTAAAAATTTGCCAAAAGTGATTACCACTGCACAAAGCACAGTGCGATATGGATCCGGCCCTTTGAAATCTAATGAAAGTCGTCTTTATTCTTCAAATTGGCGAAGACGGTGAAGCGATTCAAATGGACAAACCTCCGCGAATGCTTTATTTCCATCTGAGCATCAAGCATTAGCGCTAATGCAGCAGGGCAGATACCAATCGTTTCGATCAGATACTAGTTACTGGCATTATATCTCGACAAAATAGAAACAAGATATAATTCGTTCCAACATCATTTTGTGTTATTCGATTAGCTTCGTGATATTAAACATTATAAAATGCTGTTAAAAGTCGCCTTAATTAATTGAAAATACATAAAAAAAAAACATTTACAAAAAAGTGTTTTCTAAAATTATTTCGTTTTTATCATTAAAAAAAATATTCATACACTTCGAAAAAAGTGCATTTTTGTTAAGTAATTAAAATGTTCGACCAATTTATGACTCTTAAAATAAAATTGTCAGCCTGCTGAATGTAAAGTCAATCGGAATGCAACCTCGATCAAATTTTGTGGCACATCAGCTCGATGGCAAATGTATACTTCTTTCGATGGATTTGTAAAAAGGCGCCTAAAATTGAACATAACATACAATATATGATGAATATTTTTATAGGAAATTTTATGTTGTTCTTCGATTCTCAGAGATTGGATATAAAAATGCTTACCCAATAACCCAAAATGGTTGATAGCCCGAATTCAGTTCATCAGAAATGAGAACACCATGCTCTTTTATTGCAACCAAAGATCGATTCATACTATGCGTTGAGGTCTCCTGTGACAACAAATGTCTGAATCTATAAACAAACAAAAAAACTATTTGTTACTATCGTTATGAGCTCAACATTCAAGATGTAGAAAAGACATGAATGAAAAATTCAATTCAACTTGTTCTCTTTTAAATATTTTTTCATCGAATTTGTTTCAATCATTCCCTACCTTATTGTATTTTGGAGAATGTTGTGAATGAGTTGACATGACTTTTGAAATGCGAATGAAATCACATTAACGGAATTCAATGATGGTGGAGCCAAAAGCATCCCATCGCCCATTTCAAGTTGCACATAATGATATAAAACATTGTCTCTCCCCGCCGTTACTCTAAATTTTAAAAAGAAACACCAAAAATTAGTATATTTTTTCTCATTGAATCACGAAAAAGATGTATGATGAGAAAATTGAAAATGTAAATGAAACGGAAACTTACTTGCTCAGTAAAACATCAGAAATTTCACGAAAAAATGTGCTTGCCATATCGGACATATCAAAACCGCTGCTACTTCGTTGACTCTCCTAAATGGTACGGAAAAAAAATTAGTTCAAAATTGTAGTTCTAAATGTGGGAGCGCTTACCGGGAAACCATCCCAATCTGAATCGCTTTCATCCTCGTCGTCATCGTCGTATTTTTGTAATGAACTATCGCTATACGTTTGACTGTGTATCGAAGGTGAATGACCTCCACCAGTGGCAACAACCGCTGAAGTCGTATACTTGAGATGGTCGCTTACATTTTCCGATGAATTATTTCGTCGTTTGAGAATTGATATCACTTCAGTGGTCTTGAGGCTCATTGCAAGTGCTTCAACTGTACTTGTCGATGACGATGTCGCTGCACTAACATTCATTTGATTCGCATTTCCCTGATTGCCAGACGAATTTGCTACTGTATTTGCCATGGATGATTCTTCTTTGAACAACAAAGTCTAGAGGAAAATCACAAATTGAATTACTAATCGCGTTTGATTCATTTGTTTATAGCAAACAAATTCTGTAATAAAAATTTAAAGTAAGGTCTTGAATTTTTGGATTTTTTATACATACCTCCGGTCGTTTGTTGGCACTCAGCCAAGTGCTGGCCAAATTTTCAATGCCTCCTGACTGCAAATGATCGAGTGTGTCTTGTATTTCTTCAATGTAGAACCGTGACGGTCCAATGTGACCAGATGAATTGGCTGAAGATGATGGTGCGTCCGGATCGATTCGATGTCTTGATTCCAAAATAACGGCCATGAACAGTTGATTACGTGCAACGACGGTAAGAAACCATCGCGACGGTCGATTCGGCCTTCCATTCATTTCATTATCGAAGTTCGAAAGAGTTACACTTTTTGGATGAATCTCTCGCCATACAATCAACTCTCGCACCGGTTTATTTTCAATCAGTAAATAAATGCCGTTCGTCCGTAAAAACGCCTCAATATCAAGTAAATCCGACTTTGGCAAATGTGTAGCGAGTAAATATTTACGAAAATACAATGCACTGCCCAATATATAAAATTCACGATGCGATTTCAATGGCTCGTCATTCCATTCGCGATAGTCCATGGCTTCCATTTCACTGAGCGCATCATCGATACGCAGTTGGCCCTCCTTCGGAAGTGCCACATAATGCGGTTCGAGTAAAATATCCTCGAATCGAATATTCCATGGATGTGACATTGAAAATAGCAATTTTGTTATCGCACAAATATCGTCGATTCCAAAATTCTTCAGGTTTTCGTTTTCCTGCGCATCATCGCCGAGTTCTGAGTTGGTCGAGTCATTTGTGAAGAATGCTTGCGATAAATTGTTGCCCGAAAATTCTAAACTTCGAACAATTGTATTCAGTTTGAATTTAGCATCCTGAAGAGTGGTCCGTTTCGCTGGAATCGCGATGAGCAGCAATTCTAAATACGGAACAATTGTCGGCGTAATATTATAGTTAGAGAAAAAAAAAAGACTCGAAAAAACAATAAAAGACAAAAAAATATCTACCCTCATTGCAACTGTAGTATGAAACAAAGTATTCAACTGATTGAATGGTGACACTACTGATTTTCGGCCGGGAATTGAATGTACATTCTCTGAACAGGGAGTTCATCGTTAAAAATGTACCACGAATGCTATAGAGGTGATTGGATTCTTTCGGAGGATAACTGAAAAGAACATCTTCACCGTCCAGAATATTTTCGCTGCTTTCTTTCAGTGACAGAAGCAGCAGACTGAAAATTGGTGTGTGATCACGTTCGTCGTGTCGAATGGCAGGAAAAAAGCTTCTCAACGTATCCACATATTCACTGGTATTTGTTACCTTTGCAATATTTGGATGATGTTGTGGCGGTTCTTCAACAGCAATTCGCTGTAGTTGCAATTTGATGTAAGTTGGTTGCGTAAAACTCAACAAGATCAACTCGAAATTCTCCACATTAATGTCTTGATTGTTGATCGCCTTCAGCCAATCACCAATCTTGATGGCTTTGTCCTGACTAACTTCCGAATTTGGCATGTAACCGGCGATCATGATGCGCGAACTATCTGGAAATGGACACACTGAAACGCCAAGCAATGCTTCGGCAACAGATGTTCGCCGTCCATATTTGAGCCGCATTGATGGATCAATGAATACGGTGATTTCTTTGACTTCACCCTCGGCCATCTCATTGAATTTCACCTTGTTCGTTGTGTCCCGATCACCGGGCAGCACACCGTTACGACTGGTTTTCCTTGATGTTGCTGTGGACTTCTTTTTCACAGCCTCTTTATGTGATGTTTTATGATTTCCATTGATCAAATTCCCCAAACGGATGCCCGTTTTCTTGCTTCGACGTGTTGAAGTTCGCTTGAAATCCGTTCTCCATGCCAACAAACTTTGACCCTTTTCCATATTTCCAGGCACATTATTTGTTGCCTGCACCGGTTGAATATTATATTCTAGATAAAATAACGATCCATCGCGATTTACATGCGATTCCCATTCCACTGTGTAACTATCATCACTAGATGAAGAGAAAAAAAATCGTGGGAATTTCATACAATTCAATTTAACCAATTAGAAAATTATAATACCTAGAATGTTGTGAACCGGACGAATCCGAATAACTAGAACTCCAATCTTCCGATGAACTTGATTCAATATCGATCACTTTTTTACTTATCGCTGGAACGTCCGACCGCAAAAGCGATCTCGTTTCCGAATAAGCCATTTTTACACATAAAATGGGTTTTTTTCCTCACGAGAATTGAGAATTTATTTTTGTTTACGGTTGCATTCCATGATTATTGCAGTTATTAAAGCAAAACCTGTTCAAAACGTCAATTAACAGCGTCGAACATAATAACACAGGTATGAATTCACCTAACTGCTTGCATGATATGTTAACATACTCACCTGTCTTAGTTTCAACTCACCAGGCTCATGTTGGACAGGTGAAAACGGTTTCAATACTTTTTCGGGCAAAATTAAACGCAATAGAGTTTAATTTCGTTATTTTATGCATTTTTCTTATGCTGTACTTTTTCCTAACTTTTTTATTTTATTTTATAGAGTTTTCAATGAGAAAACCCACCCAATTCGGAATGAAAAATATCACTTGTTCTGTATAGTTTTGGGGAAAATCGTTTGATTGGTTCTGAGACAATTTCCTTAATGAAATGGAGCATCACTATTTGCCCAGCAAATTCTTCAGTTATTTATTATTTTTCACGCTATTTGAGAAATAAAAAAATAAAATTGTAACATTTAAATCTTTCGCCCAGTTAAATTCAGTAGAATTATTTGAATATCTTGTTAACTTTCAATTGTGATATAAGTTCGGTTGTTACATAATTTTATTTCTCGAAAATGACAAATATTGTTTTCCCATCTTAATTGAAGTGGGATTATTCTAATCAATAATCTAATCAAAGTAAAAAAGAACATGCTATTTCACATTCAAAACTTTCAAATTTGCGCTAAATTTCAAATTCAACATGGCTGTTATATGTCATCAATTGACATAACTTAACCAACAGAGATGTCAAAATGAAGAGAAGAAAGCATGAACGACCTGAGAACGACTGCCGGCCGAAATATTTGAGTTTTTGCAATATTTTTGAAACCAACTAAAAATGTACCGCTTAGTTTTGGCACAAGTCAGAAAGCCGATTGATTTGTCTGCATTCACTTCGACATTCTGCACGAAAGTGTCTATTCGCCGTCCCTTACGTGGTAAATGTTAATGCATGTAGTGCATTTTACAGTTGTAAACAAGTTTTGTATATGTTGATTTCAGTGCATAATTCGAAAAGTGAAATAAAGTGAATAAAAACACAGTGCATGCATTGAATTAGAATACAATCAAGTTATTTCTAAATAAAATTCCGCATTACAAACATACTGAATATGTTCAAAATAAAAAGAAAATAAAGAAACAAAACACTTTATCGTTCCCACAGAGAACAGCGGTGTTGAAATCAGCGGGACATTGAACAGAGCTTCAAATGGATTTCAGCATGGAATGCAGCAATTTCTAGTCAAAATAAATCCGTTTCTAGCAATAAAACCATTCAGTCAGTAAGTTTTGTTCAGTGATTTGTGTGTTTGCGGATGTCATTTGATTTCTTGAAATGTTGTGCTACTCATAATCCGCTGTCTATTATTGTCCACGATTCGGTATAATAGCCGATACATTTCTCCCACTTCAAATGACCTCACAATAGTCCATATTTTGTGAATTATAATGAAGTGATTCAAGATTCCATCCCTCGAGAATGTTACCAAATTGTTAATGTTTCTTTTATTTTTCTGCATCTCAATAGCACTTATGCTACGGATGCCACAGTTCCGAAATCCGACAAATCAGAGAGCATGAGCGACATCATAAAAGAATTGAACAACCATGTGGCGAACAAAAACCGAATATCACATCATGAATTGAAAACTCTGCTCAGCAAATTGAAAACACAAGATGTTACCGGTCGACAAGCGTTGGACATATTGCGATTCTGTGCATTTGGCCGTACCGATCAGAATGTCAGCGAAACGGTGAAGAGCATTTGGTATGAACTGAAGAAGCAAGAACACGAATTTCACACACAACACTACAATTATCTGCTGCGATTTGCCAGTGAAAAACAGGATGTGATCCATACTCAAGCAATATTCGATGAAATGTTTGCCGATGGCATTGAACCCGATGCGTAAGTGAGATCAATTCTTCTCAAGATCAATATATTAACTTGGATTTCTTTCGAATGGGTAGTGTCTCCTATCAATGCTTGTTGTCAGTATATTGCAAAAGCGGTAACATCGCAAAGGCCATCGAAATTCTGGATTTGATGAATCAAGATCAATTTTTAATCGATGAATGTTCGTACAATTATGTGGTTCAGTGCCACATTATATGTGGGTAGGTTTACAGATACAGATTTGGGCCTAGAATCCATTCGGGCACTGTTTAACATTTTTTGATATTTGTTATAGGAATATCGAGGCTGCCAATGCAACGATTACCAGTTTGAACGAGAGCGGATTTAGAATAAATCGAGATACGCTGGCTACTTTTTTAAGACATTATGCCAAGGCAGGCGATGTGGAAAATGTTCAAAAAACATTGGCATCATTCAAAACAGAGAATATCGAATTGATGAATAACGACATACTGAATGTGATCTATGAATTGGCTGCCAATGGGTATGCTGATAAAATCGATATGTTCTTCGAATATTTGCAACCAAATGCTGAATTGCTAACATCGTTGGCAAATGCAATAACATTATTCGTTGCCAACAAGCAGTCAACTATTTTGCCGACAATTCTTCAATTAGCCAAAGAAGCCGGCGACGTTAGATCATTGTACAAGCATTTAATCAATGAAATGGTCCGACACGTTACAGCTGGAGAAGAATTTACCGCAACTATAAAATTGATCGAAGCGAATGGTTATACGGTGGAAAACAGTTTTGACATGTTCAAGTCAGCACTGAAAGGTTCATCGGAAGAAATTATTCGTCGGCTACTGGTGTACATGAAGGCAAATGAGATGGAAGTGACGCAGATTACATTTGAGAAATTGTTTCAATTTTCGGCTGCAAAAGGTGTCGACGAGGTATTGAATGTGGTGAATTTAATGTGTACGGATTTTCGAATTCTGCCACAGAGTGCCTACATTCGTGACGTCATTCTGCCGGCATTTGGTGCCAGTGAGGATACGGCATTTGTTTTGACCAAATTACGAAAAACGAAAATCCCCGTTAACCGCACCATCATCGCATTAGTCAACAAAAGTTTGAACAAATGTGATTTCAAAACGGCCATTGATCTTCTCAACAGTTTACAATGTTTTTACGCAAACAATCGATTCATTACGCAACCACTGTTGAACGCATATGCAAGCACTGGTGATGAGCAGAGTTTTGTACGAATTGTGAATATGATGCATGCAAATTTTGCAAAAATCAATGAAGACCGCGACGTCAAATTATTTCCTGCCATTGAAGTACAAAAGAAACAGAAATTTATTGGTGAAATGTTGTACGCATCCATTGCACACACGCTCACCGATTCAAAACGCTTAACACAATTGTTGGACGCATTCATTGCCGAACGTTTGGTCACAAGTTCAAAGCATATTGAAAAGATTCAAGAAGAACTACTCAAAGTGAATGGTTCATCGCAAATTAGTCGCTTACTAACGAAACTCAGCGCAGACAAGGTGCAATTGAAGCCAAGCAATAGAAAACCACGGATTGACATGGATCAACTGAGTGCAGCTGAACTGCAAATAATTTTGGATGAACAACGATCAATGGGACGAGATGTGGCCGGCACAGAGAAACTTTTGCTTCTTGCATACATTCATGGAGGAAATGTTGCACAAGTTGATTCAATGATGTCCGGCGGTCAGTTCACACTGACAAATGCAAATTATGCTAAGCTAATCGAACTGTATACCCGAATTGGTAATTTGGAAAGCGCTTTGGATATGCTGAAACAAGTTCGTACGAAAAATCCATCATTTAAATTAAATCCAACTATAACGGCACAGCTCGCAACGCTAATGTATGAAAACAATGTCAATTTCGATGAAATTTGTGCGCTTCTGTATACACAACGACTGGATAAAGAGGTTTTAAAGGATAACATACCCTTCGAAAAGTTTCTACAACGATTGGCTGCAGATGGCCATACGCAACTTGTTGAACAATTGTTCAACACTCTAGTAAAATTTAATTACATCAAAGTATCGATTCAAACGGTGGGACCGCTGATTTCAGTTCACTTGAATAATGCAGTATATAGCGAAGCGGTTGCAAAATATGAATATCTGGCCAAAACGTACAAACTAACGCCAATGTCAACACGTTTATTCGAAGAATTGATTCGAAATAATGAATTGGATTTGCTACAACGTGCTTTTAACACCCACGAGGCGCATGATAAAAGCGATGCCATAGGTCGTTTAGCACTTGCGTTCAGCCAATGTGGCCAGGCACGACAGGCAAAATCGCATTTTGAACGTGTTCGCATCAATGATGTTACAAAAATCATTCATAAACAGTGCAAAAGATACGTTGTCACCGATGACATCGAATCAGCGAAAAAACTGTTGAAATCCACCAGCGGCTTGTCCTGTGATCGTCGGAAAATTTACCAAACTATCTTGGATATTTATCACAAACAAAATATGGCAGAAGAAGCCTTGGAATTATGGACGGACATTGCCAACGATAACATCCTTCCGTCAGCCAATTTCGTTGATAAATTGGTTGAATTGCTAAGAGCCAATAACATAAAACTTCCATCAGATTTGGAAATGAAAATAGCAACAAATTTAAAAATTGATTCAAAAAATACTTGATTATTACAATTGTTATTATGTATTTTAGTTTAGTCGCGCATTGTTAGTGTTTTGCGATGTAAATAAAAAATATTTTGATAAAACCTATCTTTTTTGAGTTGAGAATGCAGACAAACGTTTCTTGTAGCATATTTTACACCGAATTGATTGACCTTCATACTAGATACATTTAGGATCTCATCATGGATTCAAGTGACCTAGGATCCAGTCCAAATAAATCAATACGAAACAAACCAGTTAAAATGTATTTGCCATTGATAAGCACACCGTCGCAATGAAATCGAGGTGGAAAATGTTGAATGTGTATAGTTTTTCGAAAATTTCATTTCTTTTACGTTTCTTTGAATACTTAATTATTGCCGACCTGTTGAGAAAAAATGAACAAGATTCATTGTGAGAAATTTTTAGTTTATTTGAAGAGAGATAAAAAACAAATCAAACTATGGATCATCAATAGCTGGAACGTTTTCACCGTCTGTTCCACAAACTTCAAGAATGGGTAGATTGGACTCATTGAAATGAGATTCGATTGCATTTTTTTCTCATAATAAAATTTAATGATTTTAAACTGCGTAAATGGTATAATAAATTTTTTGGGATTGCACAAATCACAAATTTGGCTTACGTGCACTTAGCACAAACAATGACCACACCATAGAATATGAACTTCATTGTGTCAATGTTGTAACGTTTGTAAACTTCGTTCTATGCGGTCTCTGTTTCTCCAGTAGATTCTTGTAGATTTCATTCAACCAATATGTTTAGACAGTATACAAAGACGGTTATGTGACTACTTTCAGATATGTTCAACAGTATCGTAGTCCAATGAAAAACACCAAATAGATCGAAGTTGATCTTTACAATGCGATAGAATAAAAGTTTCTCAGTGGTCTATGTACGGTGTTAACGGTATATTACGTTCAGAATAAAACAACAAATGCTAAGTGACACTACGGGATTTCCAACGAACATGCTAATCTCGTTTTTTTTTTTGCAATGACGATTTAGCTTGGTTTTTCGCTCACAGTTGACTTTTCATTCCTTTCTTTTTTCCAAACCACGATAATTAAAAATGTTAATTCACGATTGACAGTAGTGATATTAGTTTATTTTGTTCTGAATTCCAATTTAATTGCAATACAATCTTGAACTCATTTAAATTACGTTTGTTCATGTAAAAAAATATCTCAACGGTTTTTTCTCATTATCTAAGGCTTCATATTCTGCATGATCCAATCGAGATATTGATCAACTTTCTAAAGTGAAACGAAAAAAGTTGAAATTAATAATTGTGATTGAAAAGATGAGTATGAGTGGATTGGAATTCAGAACTGTACCGTATAAATCGCAGGATAGCCCGGTGTGCCGCATCTTTGTGGACCTCTTGATACAATTCCAGCCAGATATGTGTAGGGTATTCCTCTACTGGTTTTATCATCTGCATGTAATGGACCGCCGCTGTCACCACTGCACGAGTCCTATCGCCAATCATCAAAGCATGGGTTAATTCATCATTGCAATAACATTTATTTCATATTTATTCACCTTTCCTTCTTCGCCACCAGCGCACAGTTGCGCTGCAATCAATCGTCTACCATATTTATCATTGCATCGATTCCAATTGAACCCATTAATTTCTACTTTCATTTTAACATCACTTAGCGTTCCTGAAATTTTACAATTATACTTGGATCGATTAAAATTTTATCGCTGTTCAAGCAGCAATGATATAATCTGACCATTCTCTGTTCTTCCAAAACCAGCCACACTCAAATGGACATTTGTATAGGTTCTGTTTCTCAAATGCAGAGCGAATGGTAAACAAACGGGTTTAACCCAATCAGTAAACGTAATCGATTGTGCTAAACGAATTAATGCGATATCATGGTGTTGTCCAGGCAAATTCGATTGATACCGTTCATGGTAAATGGTTTGATTAATTGCCACATCTATTACTGGATCAGCACAGTCTATTTCAGAGTCCTATGGAAATTCGAATGAACGATGCGACACAGAGAAAGTCATTTAGAGTGATAAACCAAGATTGTAGATACATACATCTTCACAGTCTAAATCAGTTAATAAGTTGTGTTCACCCAGTCGCACTGTCGTCGGTCCCCATCCGCTAAGCATTAATTTATTCGAGGCTATGCAATGAGCGGCTGTAATGAACAAAGTCAAAGCAATAATATCGTACAATAATAATAACATCGTTCGAATTCACAGCAAACAAACCGGTTAAAATGTAGTCTTTGTTGATAAGCGAACCGCCACAGAGGTATCGAGGTCTTTCCCCAGCTACGAATAAGCACACGCATAAGAAAGATTTGTATATGGTTTTTGTGTCAATTTGTTGATGAGTATATTTAGTTACTTTTTTCATATTGGATTAGCGCCATCCAAGGAAAATCGGTTATGGTTGTCTCTTCTCCACCCACAATTCTTTCCTTAAATTGTGTTCCGCACACGCCAGGTTGAGGGAAATCAGATTCTTTGAAAACTGATGTATTGCAACATACCTATAGTTAAATACCTACACTTCAATTCCATTCCATTCACACAATCAATTCCAGATATCATACCTTTGTAACGGGACCATTATTCTCACATTGAGAACTTCTGACAAACTCCTTGTCGAATATTGACAATGTATTAAATGTCAATACCATATTTAGCAGCATTGGGCATTCGTGTACTTGGACGCAAACCCCATTCTTGTGATCTGGCGTCTGACATGCGGATTCTGCAGAGAAAACCATTCAAATTGCATAAATATAATCGCATAATGAATATAAATCCATCAATTTCTATTGCTATTTTGACAGTTTTTTCACCAAAAATACAACAAATCAAAACAAATAAACAAACTTTATTCCAATATCGAACAATTTTTCAGTGTTGTTGACAACAGTGAGGTCTTGAGAAAGAGCAAAAAATGTTTATTTATGGATTTTGCAATTAACGGTCTGGTACTATTACTCTGATCAAGCGATTCATTCTGTACGTCTTCGATGTGTCAGCATAAAAATCTTATTTATCGTATGATCAAAATTCAATTCCAACCACATTATTCAATTAACCGTAGATTAATTAATATGAATAACGTTAAAATTTATTACAAAATCACAACAGTTAGTATTTCGCGCAAAATGAAATTATTCTAAAGTGTTTTTTCTCTTTATGCAACACAAACTATACAACCATTTTTAATGGTGTTATCGCAGTTTTGTGATTGAACTTACGTGCACTTGTTAAACTACTGAACAATATGAGTATACTACACAAGATGAAGAAGAATACTGTCTTCTCCATTGTTAACGGACTTTAGGAGAAATTCGGTCAGTCTGTGATATTTTTAATACTGAAAATATAAGAAAAATCTCAAGTCAAAATCTGTATCACTCCGAGGACAGTCAAGGATTACTGCAAGCACAAGCGCTCAACTTAGTTTTGTTTCAATTCATGATAATAACATTTAAAAATGCATCATTTATTTACAGATGCTGTGTGTAATACGTGCTTATGTACTGTGTGTTTTCACGACACTGCCAGTATCGCAGCTATCAACGCATCCAACATGTTCACTCTTTAGCTCATTCATTCACTCACTCCCAATCTCTCTACTCCAAAATCGGTGAACTTGAATGAGTTGGAACGCATCAAACAAAATAAATATGCACTGTCCCAATTGAATAAGATGCTGATTCTTATCAATGGTTGATGACGTACATTCATTCTGATAATACTCAGACGGTATATTCTTAGATCAGTGATTATATTATACAATGGACGTGTTATAAGTTCAAGACGTGTTCTTCACTAATTACCACCAGAAATGAAGGATTCTGAAATGCATATTTGAATGGGTGAGATTGAAAACAAGACATATTTCCACAGTATATTTAAATGAAACACCAAAGAAAGATTTTTTTAAAGTGTAACATTCACTTTGAAAAACGTTTGCGCTGGTGTTTCGTTTGTAAATACTTGTTGGATGGTGTTTCGGTTCTAGGAATGCATGATAATTTTATTGATAAGGAATGCGAATTTCGATGTGGTGATAACACCAATGGATTGGGCACATGAAATACTGTTCCAAAATCGAAATTTTTTTTTTTCGATTTTTGCCTGTTTCGGATCGTCCACCGTATGTATGAAAACCTCGGAGCGCCGGTCTAATTACATTGGTTTATATGGTATGATTTGCGAATCGTGACACGATCTCAAACGATTTTCGGCATTTTTGCTATATTCGTCGAACCACTTGGTGGATTTTGAAAAAATATACATTTTTTGAGAGAGGAAGATTCCACCTTTCAAAAAATATAAAATTTTCCAAAATCCGTTCAGTGTTTCAAAAGTTATAGCAAAAACTCCGATCGCCCTCGATTGTAATTCTTGGAATTAGTGCCTTTAAAAGAATCTAGATATTTTTAGAGATATTTTTTCACGACAAACATTCCAAGTGTACGATCGACATAATCATAACAAAACAAAAAGCAAGCCAGAAAAGGAGAAAAACTCCAAACATATCGAAACACTGAGCTATGATTCCGCACATGTAGATCACTTAACCAGAGCTACTGCAATATTTTTTTTGTTGTAATTGAATCTCTTGTGAATAAACAAAAATTGTAAATGAATTGTAGATATTGGTTTTTTTTCAACCAGTAAATACATTTAAAAATTCAATGTTTGTTCATTTATTTCCAATCATTAATGCGATGGGTGACATTCTTCATTTTCTGTGAGTTTATTTAAGTCAAACGTCGATTGGCATAGTTAGCAACGAAGTTCAGATTCCTAATTTTGCTTGGGTTTTTCTTTTTCTATTTCACCTGCTCAACGTTTTCAGGCAATTTTTGGGTGTTTCTTTCTTTGTTTTTGTTTAAAAAATAACGTAGCGACGAAAATTCAATGAACTATGCAGATTGTGTTATTATTGATACATTGTATCTGTCGTTTTAATCTTGCGAATCAAGAAATTTCAAGGGAAATATATTTGGTTTAATATTTTAAATCATTTAACGAAGAAAAACTAGAATTATAACAAAAAAACACAAAACAACATTCTATTTGCCACTTGAATTTTTCGGTTGGCCACAAGTAGCTAAGTGGCCAATAGTTTGGACAGCACTGACCTATCTGTTTCATTATTTGGATGAGTATACAAAATTGAAGGTACATAATCGAAGCAAACGGCCTTTTTCCATATGAATGGGTAAGCGGAATAACGCAACGTAATTTGTTTGTAAAATGAAATGCCTCTTGAATTTGATAAGTAATCATCAGATAATTTAAATGAAGACTTACCGCTGGGTGTGACATCGCATTCAATCAAATAGGTGCTCAGGCAACAAGGAGAACAAGAAAGATCTTTATTACTTTTAACGGTTCACCAATGGAGGCTGTTTCATACGTTTCGGTTGTGCTTGGTGCTTGTGAGTTATCGCCGTCACCCCCGATGTGTGTGTCTAGCTTTTCGATTGATTCCAGTTTCGCGATTGGTTCGTTTTCACCACTGTCGTTTACTGCCGCATTCGCTTTCGCAATTGGAGATTTGTCAGACGCCAATGATTCATTCGATTTGACTGACTCCGTGATGCTATTGTCGACTTCGAGAATCGTCGAGATGGATGGAGCTGTACTGATTGGTTCGGCTTTGTTGATCAATGGCACAGGTACGATTGATTTTCGGCCTAAAATCGGATCAAATCTCTCGAGTATTTAGTCACGCGGATTAATTTGACCTGATGGTGCACCTTGCGACAGTAGGAAATCGAAGTCGTTCGAATTCAGAATTACTGCGAAAGAAAGAAAAAAACATAACGAAAAATTCAAATCAGTTTCTTTCACTAAACCTGTGCTTTTTAGTATAAAATCTCTTTTCTGTTCACGTTAAGGTGAAATTGCAAAGTGAAATAACCACTATCCATATTGAGCATTAACGAGGTCGACTCGTATGAATCAATTGCATAAAGAAGCTCATTTTGGCCTATAACTTTCATTATTATAATCGGATTAAAAATCGAATGCAGCAACAATCAACGACATATTATAATGCAAGTTGATGAGTTGCTATTGTTCATCTTTGTCCAAAAATCGATATTCTTTTTCACCTAAAAATGATTTTGGAGGACCACATGTTCATTCGTATTGATATATGACACAAAACAGCACAAATTACGCTACATTTTTCTTTTACACACTACAATTTATGAGACAGAACAAGTATAGTGTTGTAATGACACTGGAACGAGCCGGCTTTTTCGTTGGTTTGATTGCTTTCATACCGTTTGATTTGTGTGTGCACGCACAAATACATGCACATCGCTCAGTTACAGCGATTCGTTTGTGCATGCACTTCAAATGGGTGAGTAAATTCTCTGGTTTAGCTCGGTGTGCTGTAGAGTAGGTGCTTGTAGTGGTATGTACAAAATTCAAACGATTTTCTGTGTACATGTAGCACCATCTGTCATCAATTCAACGAACGCTGCATGAACAACTGAATGAGTCGAAGTGTGTTTGACAGAAAGTGATTTGTTTTAAAACGCCATTCAATCATCATTACCGCGCTTAAGACGTCTTGCGCCAAATTTCGCAATAATAAGTATTTCTCTTTGTTTTCGTCTGTCGAATCAACAACGTTATGCAGCTTTTTAGTTAAACAAATCAAATCGAAAACACACACTCGAAACAATTCTAAAGGACGGTATATTTGCACTCAATAACACATTCAAGCGCGAAGATAGCGTTTCAGTGTATCGTTTGTCGTGTTCACACAATTGTTATTAAAACGGTAAGTTTGAACATTTCCAATCAACTTTGATTTATTTTACAATTTCGTAACGCGTGCCCATATTGTTTAATAACAAAGTGAATGCAATTGATAAGTTCGAAACCGTTTATGGATGAATTTCGACACATGACGAATCACATCAGTCTGTTTTTCTTCTTCTCTGCAATCAATTTTTTGAATACAAGAGTGTGGTTATGTTTTGTCAAAATTTACTAAGTGTGCATTGCGAATCATTTTTTGCTCTGAATTTTTTTTTCGTTTAAATAGTGAATCGAAACAATGTTTGGAGGAGGAGGTCCGAAATTCGGGGCGTCGCCATTCGGTCAAAATCAACAATCTAGCTTTGGTAAGCCAGCCGCATTTGGAGCAAATACTTTTGGACAACAATCGACTCTGTTCCCGCAACCAGCAACGAGTGTGTTCGGTCAGCCAGCTGCTCCCAGTTTCGGAGCTCCTGCACCAACCTTCGGCCAAACGGCTACGACACAATCGGCATTTGGATGTGAGTTAACTGTTATTGTAGTCTTCTTTTTTTTAAGTTAAAATCCATATTTTCTCTTCTATCATGGACAATAAATGGAGTTTTAATGCAAACCTAATTTGCATTTCTAGCGTTTGGACAGCCACAGCAACAACAACAGCAGCAGCAACAACAACAACCGACCACTTCTCTCTTCGGACAAACCCAAAATGCACAAGCCAACACATCATTGTTTGGACAGGCGTCAACATCGGCAGGCTTTGGTGCTCCAAAACCAGCTGGGTTTGGATTCAATACAAACCAAACATCACTTTTCGGTCAACCAACTTCCACATCGACAGCAAACACTGGTTTTGGCACGTTTGGCAGCACGGGAACATCTGCATTCGCACAACCACAAATGATGTCACAGGCGACTGGAACAGCGATCGCAAAGTACCAACCACACACAGGAATGGATACATTGATGAAAAATGGTCAAACCAATAATGTACAAACGAAACAGCATTGCATCACCGCAATGAAAGAGTATGAGAACAAAAGTTTGGAAGAATTGCGTTTGGAGGACTATGCAGCCAATCGAAAAGGACCTCAGGCTGGTAGTGTTGGTCCACAGCCTGGTGGCATGTTTGGAACCACACAACAGAATACGAGCATTTTTGGAGCGACAGTCTCTCAACCGCAGTCGACTGGACTGTTTGGTGCCCAGCCGACGACGAACACACTTGGAGGGTTCGGTAGCAGCACCGCCAATACATTTGGCCAAGCAGCACCTGCTTTTGGCGCACAAAATCAAGCCACCAACCTATTCAATAAACCAGCGACGGCTGGTTTCGGTCAAGTTTCGACCACTTTCAACCAGCAACCCGCAAACAATTTATTTGGCGCAAAACCATTTGGAACACCAACTACAACCGCTAGCACAGGGTTTACTGGTTTTGGTAAGCAATTCTTTTTTCATCATTTTCGCATTTTCAATTTGATTCAACTCTTAATGGTAAAAACCAATCATAGGAACACCGACTGCTAACACAGCTCAACCGTTCGGAGTAGCGAAACCATTCGGCCAACCGACGTCTGGTCTTTTCGGCACCACGGCACCGGCGAGCGGAACAGCATTTGGTGGCACTACCACATCGTTTGTTACGGGCGGTTTTGGCCAAACGGCACCGGCCACAAGTCAACCGTCTATGTTTGGTACACCAGCTAATTCAGGTGGAGCATTGTTTAGTCTGACTTCGTCCGCCCCGAATACAGGTTTCGGCGCTTTTGGAAATACTACGAATACAGCAGCCGGTACGAATGAATTCTTTCGATTTCCAGCGAAAAATTGTTAATTAATTGATGAAGAGGGAATGACAAATTCCTAACTTATTTACAACGAATTTTGAAATTTCAGGTGGCTTATTTGGACAAAAACCAGCCACTGGGTTTGGTGCGACATTTGGCGCTACGCCAGCATCTTCAGCTGCTACTGGTTTCAGTGGATTGGGTACATTTACGCCAGCATCAGGTAAAATAAAATATTAGCATATTGCATCATTGCCTTGAACATTTTTTTTCTCTCTCAAAAGGTTCGGCATTTGGAACATTCGGCCAACCAAATACATTCAACAAACCAGCGACAACTGGATTTACCGGATTTGGAGCCACTTCAACGGCACCCTCTCTGACAGGAGGCCTCGGAGGACTTGGCACAGGCATGATGGGATTGTAAGTTTTATTTTACTGATCGGGCCCAATTATAATTGTAACACAAAATTAAAATTCGTTTTGTAGCGGCGGAGCAAATACCAGTTTACAGCAAGCACAGCCAACATCAGTGCCAGTGCATCAACACATTTTGTCATTAGCTACATCTCCATACGGTGACAATCCAATATTCAAGGATTTGAAGCCATTGGGCAGTCTGAATGAAGATGCATTGAAACCGACAAATCCAGCGGCACAAAAAGCAATCCTCGAATCGTCGGCAAACCAATACAAAATTTCACCGAAAGTATCAAACGGATTGAAAGTGATTCCAGTTACTTCGACTTTGTCAAAGGTAAGAATAATGTTGGATAAATTATAGAGAAAAAACAGAACAAATTACACTCAGTAAAGATGCTGGACTTTTATTTTGAATTTTTTTTTTCTTTTGGCTTGTTTTTCATAGAAATCCTTATTTGGAGGTTTGGAAGAGTTTGATAGTTCGATTGAAGAGAGTTTCAGTCTAAAACCGAATGCCAAGCGGTTAATCATCAAGCCAAAGGCACCGACTGCTTCAAGTTTCACACCAAACGCGAATAATACATCATTGAATATTCCAAAATCGCAAGAGACAAGCCCAATTGTGTCAACGGAAGAGCGACGTTCATCACAATTGCCGACCATATCATCGGAACCAGAAAACACCAGACGTGTATCTTGGTTACATTCGAATTTGGATAAAGTTTCGCAGCAAAATCGTGGCGACAACGAAATCAACACAACAATGCAAGATTTGGTATCATCGGGCAAATCGAAATCGGACAAGTTGAGCACATCGCCAGGCATTCTGCGTCAAGATCCAAACCGTGCGAATATCTCATCGTTGCAACACAAAAGTGTGCATTTCCCCGGACTCAATGCAAACGACAGCATTTTATCGACCAAATCATTTTTGGATGATACAAATGCAGACATATCCCTTATTAATACGGAACCACATCCGACTGGCATAATCTTGCAACGCTCGGGATATTATACCATTCCACCATTGGATAAATTGACCGACTACTTGACCGAGGATGGAAAATGCATTGTACCGAACTTTACAATCGGTAGAAAGGGCTATGGTAATGTTTACTTTGGTGAACAAATCGATGTTGCCGGCTTAAATTTGGATGAGTTGGTACACTTCCGTCACAAGGAAGTCATCATTTACCCAGACGATGAAAACAAGCCACCGGTTGGAGAAGGTCTGAATCGCAAGGCTCAAATAACATTGGATCAAGTCTGGCCGCATGATAAAACGTTGCACGAACCGATTAAAGATCGCGAACGCCTGGATGAGATGAATTATGAGGTGAAATTGCGAGCAGTTTGTGATAAACATGATACAAGATTCGTGGAATACCGCCCAGAAACCGGTAGCTGGGTGTTTAAAGTCGACCATTTTTCAAAGTATGGGTTAAGCGACAGCGATGAAGATGACAATGCCGCCGATGCGAAGAAGCTCAAACCAAATTTACCGGGCAAAGAGGGTCTCAAATCAAAATTAACTGGCGCAATCCCAAAGGTCTGCTTCAATTTGAGTTGAAATTTAACACGCAAAACGTAACAAATCGAGACGTAATTTCAAAGCCACGTATAGAAACAACTGAGAATGTGGCATTGATTTTTTTTTTTTGTTAAATTCCTATCAACACGTCAAAAATTAATTCTAATATTGAGAAAACAAATTCTTGTTCTATCTTCGAAATCCGTGATCAAATTTATTGTGAAATTAAATATCTGATTTATTTTAAAAATTTGTAGACAAACTTGAATAAAAGTAAAGAGCAATTTGCATTGAAACGCGATTCATTATTATCATTGCATAAATCGCAAAGACATGGCGCATACAATGGTAAGATTAATTCGGTTTAATCTAACAAAAAATTTATAAAGAAGCCAATGTTTCATCTCTATGTACAAACGATTCATTTCAGAATTATCTGATGACCGTGAAATGGATTATGTGAATTTTATGTCACCATACAATCAGTATCCGGTGCAACCACAAAGCCCATCTACTGATTTAGCCATGGAAATGGGAACCGATCCAACCAAAGTTCAAGTGATGAGAGCCTCATTTTTTGGTATGATTGATGATGATGTCGATGAATTCGAATCGAAATCAGGTATATATTCAGAACCCATTCAATCCAAAATATGATATTAAAGTCTAACCTATTTTCGTTTTGAATTCAAAGTTAACTATGAAAACTATGGAGATCGTGACAGTCCAGATCAAATCGTTCCAAATAAACGTCTATTCACATTCTCATCCACGCACTCATTGCTGTCGAAAGAAGTATCCAGCACAACGAGTTCTAGTTCAATTGATACGCCCGTCTTAAGTCCACAATTACCAATCATTCGAGAGAGTGAGATAAGAAAAGCTGAATTGCCATCTGAGGTAAGGGAGAGGGATGCTCACATATTAATTTTGAATTTAGTGCAACAGAAGAGGAATTTATTTTGCATTATTTTTCCATTTAGAAGAAGTTAATCGCACCAAAAGCATTCAAGCCATTGCCACTGGTGCTGAAGCCAAAAGTGGCGACAATCAGAGCTTCAGATAAATTCATACCGCTTGACGAGTCAGTTCAAGCGAAACTGAAAAACAAGAGCATTGCATCTGATGTTGCACTGTACCATGGGCGTCGCTTTAGAATCGGTTGGAGTCATGCGAATCGGCTCACCATTTTGACGACATCGTTGACGTGCAAAAATCAAAATCAAGTGACCAATATAAACGACCTAACCGCTTTATTCGGTGGCCGATCCATAAACGATACCTCAAGACCAGTGATAAAACAACTAAAGATATTTTCACTGCAACCAAACACTGAAACATTTGAAGCATCTATTGAGAATCATTTGCAATGTCAGTTGAAATTTTCTCAAAGACAATCGGTCATTGACACTGATTGTCCATATTATGCGCCAGTAAATGGAACGGAGGCACTACAACAGCATTATTTGTTGGCTGATCAGAACTTTGCCGATATGCCATTGAACGAGTTTCAAAAGATAAGTCTTAACGTATGGTCATTGCTGGTCACACTTTGGGGCTATCAAGAGGAGTTGGAGGACGTTGCCAATGATGACCATTATGCTATAATGCTGCGTCGTGATTTGTTCTCTAAGTGGATTGAAGATACGGTCACCGATAAAGGGCTATTGAGTCGAACCGAGTCACAAGGGAACTATCTACAAAATTTGCTGAAACTGTTGACGGCACACAAAGTGAACGAAGCATGTGATCTCGCATTCAACAACGGCGATATGAATTTGTCACTTTTATTGGCGCAGACGGGCAGTGGTAATGTGGTTCGTGCTTTGGTGGCAAAACAGCTTCAATCATGGCGCGAAACTGAAGCTGATAAATTCGTTGATGTTCATCGTCTGAAGGCAATGATGCTCTCATCCGGCATGCCAACGTATGAATCATCACAAGGATTAGTGAATATTTATGAAGATTTAGATTGGGTGAAATCATTGGCGGTAAGTTGTTGATGAGACTCAATTTTTTTTTAATTTCAAATTAATCACTGAGCAATCAAATAACAAATTCCGTTTTTTTCAATTGTTTCTAATATTTTAGATAAACGTTTGGTACTTATGCTCACCAACCGCTTCAATCACCGATGCTTTGCTGAAGTACGAAGATGCAACCGTTGTGAATGCAGCCGCCCCTTCACCGTCTTATGTGAAAAACTACGATGCAGGTAGCAACATGGATCGGGTCCAAGATATTCGTTATCACATTCTGAAATTGTACTCAAAGCGCAGTCATTCGTTGGAAAAACTATTGAATCCGGCTACGCACAGCGCCGACTTTATGGACTTCCGTCTCAGTTGGCTTCTATTGCAAGTGCTCAAAAGCATCGGTTATCAGCATTGCTCACCACAATCCGAAGCTCAGTTGCACGTTTCGTTTGCCAGCCAATTGGAGAATTACGGTCTATGGCACTGGTCGATTTTTGTATTGCTTCACATTCCAAACAAGCCACAGCGTGAATTGGCGATTCAGGAAATTTTGTACCGCTACATTGATCTAACAAAGAATGAAAAATACAAAGAGAAGGAATCATTTATCGTGAATCAACTCGGAATACCGGAGAAATGGATTTACTGGGCCAAAGCAGTTAAAGCCGGCGCATCAAAACAGTATCGTGAACAGGCTGACTACTTGCTCAAAGCAAAGCAATGGGCTCTCGCACACGAAGTAATCATGGAACAGATCGCACCAGATGCAATCATTAATGGTAATGGAATTGGTGATGTGAAATAATTTAACGTTGGTTTTAATCGTATGCACATTTACAGATAATACAAGATACATAAAGGACTTGTTAGATCGATTCGAGGATCCACGCTTGGTACCAAATTGGGCCAATCAAGGCATGATCATTTTGGATTATCTTGATATGATTGCAAAGGTTAGTAGATGCTTAGTGAAGAGAGAAATAGCGAACATATTCGACCCAAAAATTACATTTGAAAATTCCCATTGAATAATTATCATCGCAATGTTTTTTCCTTTTTTTTTGATTAGATCGAAAGTCTAAAGACGATCCATGAGCGTGATATCGAAACACGTTGGGAAGGTTTGAAGCCGCAATTATCGGAGTTATGTTCACGCATCAATCTGTTTCCATGTCCAACATCAAAACATCGCTTGTGCCAAAGTGAAATTGCACAGGGTTTGGCCATTCTGGTCAATGGCATGGAAATCCTATCATCTGATATTAATCCATGTTTACTCGTGCATACTGCATTAGAAAAACTACCATTACCCGAGGAGTATGCGAAGCAAAAAATGCGTTCACTTCTGGACAACAGCAACCTTATTGAAATGCTGCAAAACGATGATAATTAATTCAAATACAAATTCGTAAATTCAACACAAATCAATGCAACCATTTTAACTTAAAAGAATAAGCAATTTCGATGAAAACATTTTCGTAACGATAACGATGTTAATTGAGAAATTAAAATATATGTAAGAGCTTTGTTTTGTAAGGTGATCATGCGATTTTTATAAATTGAAAAAAGTAAAAATGACTGACAGGGACATAATTGATATGGAAAAAATGTAAAAAAAAACACACACACACACACACACACACATAATAATTTTAGATTTTCTCCACCTCCATTTCATTAGGATATTTGTTATCAAAATAGACTAAGATTATCTAAGACAAAAAAAAAATTAATAGTATTTTTTTTTTTGAAAAAAAAAACATTGTTTTCTTATAACAAAACCATCGATTGTTATTACAATTCAAGAGAATCTTGTTTTCGGTTGGATACAAAAGAGAGGGTGGAAAATAGAAGGAAAATACCATTTAACTTAATCGTAATAAATATGTTTTTGTTAAAGAACTGAATCATGAATAAATTTCGGAAATAAATCATAAACTACGAAGATGCATATTCAAACTGTTTCCTTGTATTTGAAAGAAAAAAACGACACTTTTTCCAGCCAGCCCATTGTACTAAAAGAATTGCTTGGAATTTGATCACAGATGTCGTCATGAGTATGTGAACTCAGCAAAGCCTCATGTATTCATTTGAAGGAGAGAAGAAAAAAAAACAGGCGTAAACAATACACACAGTCATACCGAGTGACGCACGTCGGATCGATCCGCATGTGATCACGCACGCTGTTGCTTGATGATTTTCCTACAATTGACAATCCGGCTGTGTGCGATACGATGGTTGTGTATCGCGTGCGAGAAACGATAGTCCGCTTTGGTTGCCGCCACTTCAATTGTGTATGTGCTGTCATGACAAGCGCTCATAAGATATCGGTATTCAGTTTGTTAACAAAACTTGTGTAGCAAAGTGTGTGAAAGAGCGAAGTGAGGACAAAAATGCACAACGAAATAATGTGAGAGTAAAAAAAATGTCGTGTATACCATAGAAGAAAACATTTTTTTGACCGCGCGTTGGTCCTGTTTGTTAACAACAAAAATAAGTTCAATTCACTTGGATTCCGTCTGTAATTTAGTGTATTTTGCGTATTACATGTGATAGTTGTTTACATTGTTCGCTTTGTTCTTCGTGATAAGCAGTGCAAACTAGTTGTGTGTGCCTGAGTAAAGACCGAATCATCATCACCAATCACCAATAATAATAAAAATAATAATAATAATAAAGATATATAGATAATGTGTGAAGAGTGTGCGGTATTGTACAAAAAACCATAACCAATTGTAAATATTATTATTCTATGGATGTTCCATAGCCGAAACAATTCGATACGAAGCAAATAACATCGAACAACAACAAAAAATGAGCGATTTATACATAAAAGGAGACACAATGGCCGTGTGGAAAAGTGTTGGCGAAAAGAAATTATACGGGATTGGTACGTGTTTTCAATATTTTGGTTTTTTTGTTTTGTTTTCACTATGTGATATTAGATGTTGAATATGATTGTATACATGACGCTCCCAAATGAATGTATCGAATACCAAAAAAAAAAACCAACATACATTTGTCGCCGTCTCCATACGAATTTCAATTGGTTTGCGTGAAAAAAAATTAAATTTTTTCCGCGTCGTTCAGATCAGTATGAGCGATGGAACAGAGATAGAGAGGGAGAAAAAAAAGAAAGGGAGGACAAAGCAAAATAAAAATAATCGTGAATTCTGTGAAAATGTCATGATTAATCATTTACAGTTTTTGTGTATAGTGTACACAAACACGCGCGCTGTGTTTGCAAGATCATTCGCACGAACCTCTAATTTTCTGCTTAATAATTTATTTAGCATTTGGACCAATGGGTATAAACATTGCTCTTGATCATTATTCTGTAGCCCATAAATATGCTCTTTTTCATACATATTTTTATAATCATTTCAAATTGAATAAACAAAAAGAGAAGGAGAAATGAGTGAAAGATGAAAAACCACCATGAGCAACATAGGCATTTAATGAGATCGGTCGTCCGTTTCTCTAAAGTGTGAAAGTTATTGGAAACAATTTTTTAATGAGTTGCGAGTCAATTATGAGCGTTTGAATCATAAATGAAATGAAATTCAAACGATCCATTCTCGGTGTTGAATGCGTGAATGGCTTTTGAACTATGGCTCATCAGTGTGTACTTGTTGAATCATTGGAAGCGGCGAAATTTCCAGCATATATCGTTTCTTCCTTGTTTTCTTCTTCTTCATTTAATGTTGTTGACTAATGCATTTCTCGCCTTGTGTTCTGTGCGCGTCGCTATGCATGTTTGTGTGAGAATGTTGTGTTTTTAAATGGTTGGCCACTTCACAGGAAAAATGCTACAAGGAGTGTAGGTTATAAATTAAGGGGAAGAAAAGGCAAAGCAAAGAACCATGTTGTCAGAAGGGAAAGAAACGGTGTGTGTGTGTGTATACAGAACGACTATCGGTGTTTACTTTGAACAATACTCTCGAAAAACACTTTTTGATCCATACTGAGAATTTTTTGGCTATGTCATGTCTACGGAGCAATTGATGTTGTTTATGATTTTTTTTTTATTATTATGTTACTTTCTCTATCGGCCGCTCGTTTCTTATGGGCTCTCTGGTAAATGGACAAGAGATAAATATGTGAAGCAACAACAACAACAAAAAAAAACAGATCAGAGAGAAGAAACAAAGTTAATCTCTTTCGGTTTTTGTATGCGAAGAGGCAAAATTGTATGTTTCTGAGAATTGTTGGCTGGCGCAGGTATTCCTTGTTTCATAGGCACATATACACACACACAATTCACGTAAATTTTGTGACTCGGTTGGTTTTTCTTATTACATGCTGTTGTCGTTCTATTCTTTTGCACAAAACATACTCTCGAGTAATTGATGCTGAGTTCGCAAAAAAAAATCTCTCCATTGAATTGCCATTTTTGGTAGGCAAATGTTTTTATCACTCGTTCATTCTCACACAAATTGAACGCAAAACATTTGTGTTGTACCATTTCTTTTATTTTGCATTGTTTTTCTCTCGCTTATTCAGTGATTGTGACGGCAATTGAGTTTTTTTCTCATTCTTCCAAACATATATGAATTCCGAGTACTTCCGATAATTTAAATGTACTTAAACGGTTTAGAAAAAAAAAACATTTAATTTGATCCGAAATGGAATTTACGAAGGACGAAATGTAGCGGTAGTAAGTTCCTTGCTATTTCTAATGTTTACCCGTCACATAACATGTAATATGGGAGAAACAGACACGCCCTCATTTAATGGAATCGAAACAAAACGAGAAAAAAAACCCGAAAAATGTGCGTGCATGAATGTATGATTGCCGTTATATTAATCTCAACGCTATTCAGTGTGTCGATCTAGATGGTGATCGTTTTGGCAAACGGTTTCCATTGTATTTTCGCTCCCTTATTCGGTGTGTATATCGTCGCGCTCGTCTGCAATCCGAAATAATGATGCTCATTGTTGGTTGCAAAACAACAAAACACTCTCCGTCCGCTTTTATGCGTTTCAATTGTAATCAGCCTGTGAATGAATGAATGGATGATTCACAGCAAAAACCCTCGGCTAAGTGAGACGGCTGTGTAATGTAAATAGTAAATGCAAACATTGCATTACAATCATTTAATTTCCCAACTGTAAGCGTTGAAGCCACTTCACCTATTTTATGCATGTCTTATACCTATGATTGCCGTCAATGGAACGATCTGATCCGCATATGGTATCCGTGGCGTGAACTCAAACATACACACTTTTGTATTTACTTTGGTTTGGTTGCTGTTACGATCTTTACTATATCTCGCCGTGCCATTCGTGGTGCTCTAAATTTGTATGTTATGCGTGCGTGCCAACCGAGTATGAACTCATCTAAAAAGATGAACGAACAACGAAGAGAAAAAAATTGAAAAAGAAGAAGAAGAAGATAATTTGCAAAACAATTATATTTACATGATTTTCATTTAGCTAATTGAACTTCTCACCAAACGAAATGGAAATGGAATGCGAACACAGCTATTGAAATAAGAAAATACGAATTACACAGACACACAACATATATCTACATTAAATATAATTCACATATTCTGTTTCCATCAACAATTCCACTTGTTCGCGCTCTCCGTTCCGAGCATGTTCGCTAAAGCGTCTCTTGTTTCGCGCGCTCTTGTCTTTTTTACTTCATTCGCCTTTGTTTCGACAAAAGTGCTTTATTGCGCATTCTATATTCAATTCCAAAGAGATAATGAATACACATTGTCTATGCGTGTGTATGTGCACGGTCAGCGTAAGAGGTAAGAGAGAAGAAAAAAAAATAACAACAAAGTACAAGTAAATAATTATCGCATGTAATTTTTGTTCATAGTGAAAAATTCACACATCACACTGAATGAACAACATTCGCACTTGATCGTACACATTCAATAATTTTATCTTAATGAAAAATTCAAGTTAACACCAGTTAAAGTTATCGACTCCGTGTGTGCGGTAACTGTTGTGTCTTGGCCGCAAAATTGTTCTCCCCATAGCCCAAGATAAAAAAAAGAAGAAAAATCGGCTGTATTTTGAAAACAGCAGAAAAAACCAATAACACCAACTGAGCAGAGCAAATATTTTGAATTAGAGATAAACGGTTGTTTGGACCAAAGGCGGCCAACGCCATTGAGTTCGATGCCGTGCTCTGTAACAACAACTGTGCGTGCTTATCGTTGATCGACTTATCACTTCAGTCGAATGGAATCGATTGATGTAATAATTCGAACCCTTTTATACCGTCAATTACTCATTTCATCATTGAGAAAATCGACGCATTTTTTTGCCTGTTCTCTCCAGACCTGTTTGTCTGTCATTGGAATTTAAATCAGACGGTTTTTTCGACGAAACTTGCATAATGCCGTGCACAATTTCAGTTATGAGTATTCCATAGAGCAGTCCTCCCCGTTGCAAAACAATGAAATCGGAAATTTGTTTAGCTGAAAATTGAGATGAAGTACAAAGTCCGAATTGAGTGAAGAAAGAAAAAATACACACAAAATTAAATACTGAATGATTCGCGTGAAAAAAACAAACAAACTTGATTCATAGGAAACAATCCAGTGTTTGTTTGCTTTTGTGTCATTCGATGTACACGAATTGACGAGAAGTTTTCTGACGATGACGACGATAGCGACTTCGATAATAATTCTAGGCATATGATTATTGAAATTTATCGCTTAAATTTGATGTGATAGAATCCGAAAAATATTCCATTGTTACAAGCCCATTATACAGTTTCTTTTATTTGATCGGAAGAGTTAAACTGTGATTCAAAGCCCTTTTGTTGTCGATATACGTGTATTTGCCGAAGGAATTCGGTTTGGGGTTTGGCTGGTCTATTTCATTTACATGATTACGGCATTTATGAATGATTCAGAAGTGATCGATATGTATTCAAACTAAGTTTGATGCATTCAAAGCTGATGCGGTGCAACAATGTGCTCATACATGTGCATTTATTCATTAACGTCAGTGGATAGCGCGTTGCATTGCAAGCCGTTTAAATCAATTGTTGCATTGCGGCTACCGCTTGCCGTTGATGTTGCCGTCGTCGTCGTCACAACAATAATATTTTACACTCAAACCAGAACACATTCGTAACCTTGTCATGTGTAACTCGTTATTTGTATGTATTGCTGGCGCTGCTGCTTCAAATGTGTCGTATATCGTGGCGAGCGAGACGTCATTACGCAAACGAATACAAACGATTTATCTTCTTTTTTTTTCATTTGTTCGTCAAACAACAAATCGTCGTTGTGCTGAGTAATTCAAAATCCAACGATGTGTGTAGCACGCCAAATCACAGTCCAATGCATACACGCTCCATGTATAATAAACATCTACCTGTTGGTCTATCTAGTTGTATGACACATTCTACGGTCGTGCGCGCATGTTTGACGATTGAATCGTCGGCTGTGGTGTGCATGCGGTATCCGTCGTCTCCATAATAATGAAATGAACGCTTCAACATCCAAATAGTAAATATCAAAGGAATGTTCTGGCACAGGCTAACAACTAGAATGCGAATGACGATCGAAAACACACAAATCAAAGAACATCATTAGAACACAGAACATAAAGCGACCCATTGATCGGAATTTTTCAGATTTTTTTCTCCGTTTTTTCTTCCTTCTTCCATTTGCCGATTAAATTCTTTTACGCCAAGTCTTTTCTAATGATGCGTAGTTTAAACGAGACCTATTGAAATTTATATGAATGTGTTTGTGATGATTTTTTTTCCTCTTCATTTCTTTTATTTTAAATCAGATCAACTAATTTATGCTCAGTCATTGGTTTTGCTGACGTTTTTTTCTTTGTACGTATGCATCTCAGTCTCTACCTCTTTGTGCTCATAAAACGAGAAAAGAACAAATGAGTTGGACGAAGAGTTTTGGTTTTTGGAATAAATGTTTCATAATCGTGGCAACATTTACGACGGTACATTTGTCGCTTTGAAAGGTGTTTTACTGTGTGTCAATCGGATGAATCCCAAAGCCAATTTCTGGTTGAATATTCTAATTACTCGGCAATTAGTACCAGACATGAGTGCCCAATTTGCGACACTGTCGTCTCCCTCTCTCCCTCTCTCTCTCTCTCTCTCTCTCTCTCTCTCTCTCTGTCTCTCTCTCTCTCTCTCTCCCTCTCTCTCTCCCTCTCTCTCTGTCTGTCTTTGAACACACAATCGTTTACTAAGTCACATCGAATGAAATCAGAATTGGAAGTGAGAAAAACGACGAGAATGATTGAAAATAAAAACAAAAAGATGATGACTTAAACGTAACCGCTTCAGCACTTGTTCTCTAATTCGGTACGTGCTCAATAAATGGAATGAGAGAAATGAACAATCGGATGCTGAAAGCACGGCGGGAGCCACGAATCAAGTGTATCGTGCGCCAACTGCGAGAGACTTTACAACATATATGCATAGACTAATATTTTCTTACAACATGTTTTCATCGCAGTGTCTCTTTATTTATGTAACACACCAAACGCACTTAATTCTCTCGCACATTGCCTCCCATTCGCTTAAACGGTTTTCAAATCGGCCACATGACATCTTTAATTAGAATAATTAGAATCTTTTATGCACATCGAATGCGGCTTTTCTATCCTTCGTACACAACTCTGTAACAACAATTGGAATAAGACAGAGTAAAATAGCATCGTAGATGAGGTCGATTCGTTTGAACTTATCTGTTTTGTGTAGGCACATCATCAGCATGAGATAACTCAATATTCACAACAAAAATCAATGGGTTTGAACTGATGCAAAGAAATAACCAGACATTTTTCAAAACACAATATTTTTTTTTCCTTTCATTTCAAGTTAATTCATTAATTCAATGCACATTCTCACATTGAACAATGACTTTTCATGGATGTTGCAATGTCAATCGCAAGTATATACACATAGTTCTAATTATATTTGCGAAAAGGTTATTTACTAATCATATTCCTAGCGATTTTGTATCTATCCCGTTCCGTATTTGTAGTTCTTTCCCATCTATCTCTCTCCCAGTCTCTCGCACAGTCTCTAAAATCGATGTGATCATTTGCTATTTTGACCGTACTCTGTTTTGACCATATGGAATGTGTGTTAATTCCATTTTTGGAATCTATCGAACATATGGGCCAGTCGTTATGGCAATAAAATAAATAAACAATTCGAATCGGTTAGATAAACATTCAAAATACAACGTTGTAGAGCGATACATTAGCTTAATTCATCACAACGATTTCGAATCAATTCGATTCCTTCGAAAAGCAAAATATAAATGTGCATTGTTTGGCTGCGAAGTCAGATGCGCAGACTATCGCATCGTATTAAATTGGAGTAATGGTGCGTGCCTTATAGCCGGGTGCACAACATAGGAAGTGATAAGTCGTAAAAAGTCATCGTCCGATATAAAAGCGTGTAAATGGAGTGATGCAGATGTGCAGAACGGCCGGAAATATCTAAGAAAATTCAAATCACTGTTTGCCCAATTTCCTCTTTCGATAACAAAAATAGCTGCAGCATGTGTGTGTGTGTGAGCTTTGGTTTTGCATTGTTCACTTCAGGCGTTTTCAGCATTTACATGGCCTAATATGCAACTTTCACCTTTGAACATGCACCGAGATGAAACTTCCAACGTCTTCATTTTTGCACATGAAAAACGAAATTGAAAAAAATGACGGCTTTCCATTGTTTTGCGCTGCTCATATAATAAAATGTGAGCATAAGCATATTTATTATGTTCAAAATACGTCGAAAGACGGAAATATGGCTGAAGATACTGTAATTTTATGCTGGCAATGAGCGAAGAGACAACAAACCACGCATTTGTGTTGAAAACATTTGCGGCTTGCCGATTAATTGTGTGTGTGTGTGTGTTTTTTTTCTTTTACTTTTCTCGTAACAATTTTTATTTTTTTTTTTCGTTTTCATTCCATGATTATCAACGCAAAATGAAACAAATTGTTAGCAATCTCCTTTCACCCCTCGTTTTCTCTATCTATCATATCTGTTCTCTGTTTTGTTGCATTTTGTGTTTTGTGCACACTGTCGATATGAAGCACACTCAGCACGATTCGTTTGGAAGCCAACACGTGTGAAATGTACCAGCAGAAACCATATATGCTGCCTATTTAATGCTTGTTCGCATTATGAATAAATACATTCCACGTTTGCTGTTTTTTTTTCTTTCTTCCTCTCAACTTCCCGGCGCGACCAACGCTCTAGACTGCATTTTGATTCTATTGTTTTGACACAGCACGCATGCAAAATACACTTTCAAGTGTGCAACACTCGATTTTGCATTTATTTTATGAAATAAATATGCCAAGTAACTGCCAAATAGGCGCAAATAGATGAATAGTACGGCAGAATGGCAAGAATAGATGAGATGAGCGATACTTGAAACCTCTTGATGCAACAAATGCTATCATCATTTCAAAATTTTCATTCTAAAATACAAACAAAAATATCTTCCGCTTCGCTTTGTTGTGCGTTCCCATGAAGATAATGCAATTATCACTGCATTACAATGTGATGCCAACCATAAAGCAGACAAAACAACACAGAAAAAGAACTATAATAAAACCCATGAACTTAACGGATTGTATATTTATGCCATAAACACTTCTGAATTTTACTAACCAGACACGCAAAGATGCGATTCGACCAATTTTATGATTGACGACATCAACGACGTCAACGACGACGATGATGTTGATGACGACGATGCATTCTTTCACTTTATCACCGAGAATTTCACAAACTACGCTCGATTTTACAATTATGGCCGTTTGCACTCTGACTATCTCTTAACAAAAACAATTGCGATAAAATCGAGCTGTTTTGAAAGTTCATATGTTTATGCGGATTTGTCATTTGGATTCGGTGAAATCCATTTTTATACATCTGTATCAGCAGCTTAACATTCTACAGCGATAAAGAGAAAAAACAACGTTCTTGGAGAACGGTTCGCACATATTTTCTCATGTTTTTTTCTTCTTCTTCTTCTTTTGTAATCTTGGAGTAATAATTGTTTTTTTCTTTCATATTTTATGATTCAGTTTCGATATATGTATATAGTTTGGTTGGCTGCGCAATTGCATAAGAATATTTGAAAAATATCGAGAAAAAAAAACAAACAAAAACAGAGATATTTTGTTGAACTAACATTAAAAGGCCCAAATATGCCATACACAGCACAATGACACATGGTTAACAGGCAATAGAGAAGCGAGCGACTACAATCGGAAGGAAATGGTTAATATGATGTTCGAACGCATTCTAAATATTTCATTTTAAACGGCATATTTAAAGCAAATGGGTCATTTTCATATGCGTTGCAAATGCTTTTAAATTTTGATTACTCGTTTTTTTTTAATGTTTGCTCATATGGTGGGTTGGGAGGGACTGTGAATAAGCAAACACAAATAGCAACCATGTTGCAGCTCATTTGAAAGACCCACAAATGATTTGTTTGCGATGGATCAAATCCAGATTTGTTGAGCAAATCAGTACTGATTTGGATTTCAAAGTGTTTAGACAAGACTAAAATTGCTTCCCGAAAGTCTAGTCGTGTAAGCGTTTGTTGGACAAAAACACTAAAAGTTCTTCAGAAAAATTAAAATTTTCCACAACAAAAAATCGCGGTTTTGAGGTCAAAGACAGCACACGCTACACTTAATTGGCTACAAATTTCGTACGCGACCATTTATTTCTTTTTTCTTCTTCTTTTGCTTCATTTTGGTGACGGCAACTAATCACTTTAGATGGACGATGAGAAAGACACAAAGAATAAACTAATATAATTGTGTTGCATTCGCGCGTAAAGCGCTTTCGCCACATAATCAAAGCGCTGAATGATTAGTCGCTACTTGATTATTTGGGTGCGTTTGTCGCATATTAGCGAGACGATTAAATTGGCGGTAGCTTTTGAATTTTGTTTTTTATGTACGGGCTATCATCGTATGACTGTTTGTGAACACAGTCATTTTGTGGGAAAATGTGTACAACACACACAAAAAAATTGCCGTCCAATCTATATAATAATAGCAGAATTCACGCGAATGCAATGAATTGTTGGTTGCAGTGATGTAAAACCAAGATTATTAATTCCGTTTCAAGGCAGATTGAAGTGTTGGAAAAATCATTTCCAGCGGTTGCATTCGAGAATAGTCGGTGGTGTTAAGCAATCGTGAAATGAAAGTAAAATAAAAACAATTATTCCGTATGCATTATGAAACCTGGCTGTTATTCATGAAGAGAAAAGTAATCCATCAAATGGGCTACAATCAACTGAGACTTTGTTACACATTTTTTTCAATCTATTGGTTATGCGCGTCTGGTTTTCGAATACAATGTTATTTTGTGAAATCATTTTTTTGCCATTGCTTTTTCAGTTCATTTATCAATCAAATTTCGACAAGATTTTAGACATTGAAAAACCGTTTTGACATTATTTCTTTTCTACCCAATTGAATAGCTAAAAATAATTACTGTGAAGACAAACCACATCGATTGACGTTAGATGTTGGGGATTCTGTGATAATCAGTGGTGAATGTACAAATTGGTATTATGGATATAAAAAAACGTAAGTAACAAACAGCAAAGACCAAACCAACCAAAAAGTGAACAAATTAGAAAAATTTGCGTTCATTTGTCTTTTCAACAACGCACGATCGTCATTGATTGGTGTTCTTTTCATTCAAAACAGGAATAAAAGCGAATGTGGTATAGTCCCAAAATCGTACATTCACATATTGGACTGTGTGCTGACGTCGAAAAACGAATACGTTGTAAAGCGATCAGCAATCGTCGACGAAATTACCACAGTGCTGTGCGAATGGGGCAATCTGTTCAAGAAATTTTATCTTACAAATCATGAAATTTTACAGCCAATTCGACTCAAAATACTCGAATTGATAGGTTTAAGGTCACAAATATTATCGGGCAATTTACCCGTTGACGAAATGAAAAAAGTGAAGCTGATGGCTACATCCGAAATTGACACCGGAAATAAAATATTAGGTGAGATTTAAGGCGCACGCATCATTCCACTGACCCTCTTTATTTATCTCTCTCTTGTTATTCCCTCACGTATGCATTTCTGAAAACATTTTTTAACATTTGGTCGTCAATAAAATTTTATTTAGCCCTAGACATGGTTGTGCGCGACGAAAGTGGCAATATTTTGGATACGACAGTGACATCAACAACACAGCTGTACGAACATCACATCTATGCCCTTGATCGGATACGAAAAGCAACGGTAAGCGTAACTGAGCCACCCAAATGGTCATTTCATATTTGGAACGAATGAACTCGAACATTCGGGCAATATATGGCATTTATCATTTATCGTATCTTTTTGCAGAACAATTTGAACAAAAATCGTTTGTCGAAAACGACCAACAAGCATTCACACAATTTGCTGGTCACGGTGCATGCATTTGTTTGCAAACACCAGGAGGACTCCGATTTACTGCTAACGCTGTACGATGGCGATGAAATGAAAGCAATCACAGAGAACTATGTTGTTAAATGGGGACGACAGGGTTTAGCCCGAGATTTAGATCAATTTGATAATCATCGTGTTCTCTTTACGGTACGTGAATAGTTTTCAATTTGATTCTGTAATTGTTTCGAATCATAATTTGAAACGAAAATTGTCCATTTGTCGATTACAGGATTTGAGCAGCCAAGATTTGAACAGAAACAAAGTGTATCTGATTTGCTATGCTGTTCGTATCGGTGCAATGGATATGAAAGAGAACGATTCAAGGCGCAACAGTATTACGCCTGGAATGCTAAGTATTGGCAATAAGAAGCATTCTCAGCTGAGCATTTCATCGAACGGTTCCACTGGAAACGAACAAATGGCATTGCGACGGCCGTTCGGTGCTGCTGCCATTGATTTGACGCCAATCATCCGAAAGCCCGAAGATTTTAAAAACAATTTGGATCTGCCATTCATTCTATGTGAAAAAGAAAATTTGGACAACACACTGAAAAAGCTGCTTATGAACAAGGATGTGGGCAAAATCGATTCAAAACTAGCAGTCAGCGTTGAACTGTTACATGGCGATATCAAACAGGTAGGGCAAAACAATAGCTGGGCATTAGTCATATTCTTTTTTTATAAAAGAGGGATATTTTTGTTGCGGTCGGGCTCGCAGCCATTAGTAGCAGTTGAATTTCTTTAAGAGAAATAATTGTTTTGCATACACTCGATAAGATAAAAGAGTTTGGACTTTTGGACTTTGTTTGTTCACTTGCAAAAAATAAATTTGTATGGTGAATAAATAGCGCCGTTCATGTCCGGCAAACATAAACAAGCTTATCAACCGGATATATGTGTATGGTTAGAAGTTGTGAAAAAAAGAAGAAAAAATTGAGACGAGAGCATAGAATAGGTCAAGTATTTAAAGTAGTATAGCATTAGACGTTACAATGAACACACCGAAACCGCTTCGAAAATTATCGCAAAATTTTCAAAAATGTCTTGTCGTTTTACAACAGATCAAAGAGGAGTTTCCGCATTTGGTGCATGGAAATGTGGCGTTTGCTCGCAAAATGGGCTTTCCCGAAGTCATTTTCCCCGGTGATGTACGCAACGACTTGTATTTGACGCTGGTGAATGGCGAATTTGCAAAGAGCTCAAAAAGTAGTGACAAAAATATCGAAGTGACAGCCGTTGTTTGTGATGAAAAGGGTCAAATTGTGCCAAATATTTTGACATTAGGAGCCGGCGCTTCAATGTTAAATGAATACAAATCGGTGATTTACTATCATGACGACAAACCCAAATGGAATGAAACATTTAAGATTGAGTTACCGATTGAAGAGTTTAAAAACTGCCATCTGCGATTCACATTTAAACATCGCAGCTCAAACGAGATGAAAGACAAAGCAGAAAAACCATTTGGACTGTCCTACGTACGTTTGATGCAAGACAATGGGACAACACTACAGCACCAGTGCCATCAGTTGATTGTTTACAAAATTGACCACAAAAAGTATGACAAAGACACATTGTCACAATATTTGAAATTACCTTCGCGCACATTCGAACTATCCACAAATGAAAAACCATCGGCAGGCGGCCTGACCATCTCACCAAAAGACTCCTTCACAATTCTAACAAATCTCTGCAGCACGAAATTAACTCAAGATGGTAATTGCATTTTTTTCTATTCGCTGGAAAAATCCAAGTTTTTCTTCTTAAGATTTTCAACGTTACTTTAAATTATTTTTCCAGTGGATTTGCTCGGTCTTCTGAACTGGTCAACGCACAAAGAGACATTAGAAGAGTCATTGAACTCACTGATGAAAGTCAGTCCCGAAGAGGTTGTGAAATTTTTGCAAGACATTTTGGATGCTCTTTTCAACATTCTGGTTCAAAATGATGACTCACCAAAGTATGATCATTTGGTATTCAAGTGCCTGTTACGTCTCATCGAGATCGTATCGGATTTAAAATATCAACACTTTCAATCCGTATTGGATTTATATATCAACGAGAGTTTTTCGGCCACATTGGCCTATGAGTAAGTAGTTGACAAATTGTCTTGAATGACCAGAGTACACTTCTTTCTTTCATTGGATGGTTTTTAATTCTCGACAAAAAAAAAACAACTCTCTTTTTTTCACAGCAAATTGATAAATGTGCTACAAACCCATATTCGAAATGCAATAAATAACACGACGCCCGAAAATGAGACGCTTTACAAAACGATGAAAAATCTGCAATACATCATGAAATTTGTGATTCGTTCGCGAATATTATTTGCGAAATTAAACGATGATCGAGATCAAGATATGTTCGAAGCAAGTTTGGAAGGTAATTTTGGTTTCGCACGAATAACATTGCATCGAAATGGAAAAAAAAAACTAAACAATTTTTTCCCTCATTATAGATTTGCTACAGTCATTTATAAAATTGACGGCGTGCCCGAAAGATTTGCTTCGGTCTCAAGGTGCAATGTTAAAATATTTACATATCATTTCATCAGATCTGACGCAAGTGTACGATCCAGTCAAATTGAGGTAAATTAAAGCAAAATTTCTATTATGCATCAAAATTGATATTTATCTGACCATAAAATTACATTTCGAATTTTACAGCACGGTAATCGTGGAAATTTTAACAAACATTGCTCCGGGTCGTTTGACACAGTCAAAGATGATTTGTATCAAGGAATTGGTCGATTCCAAACTCTTCAAAATGCCTGAGTGTCGTAAAATTTTGCTACCAGTATTTTGTCGTCAAATCAAAGACAAACTTGAGAGCAAAGAAGAGGTTCGTACACAATTTCCATTTGGTTTATAACGCAAAATTAATCGATTTCAGTGTGTCACAATCTAACAATACTCTTTTCACATCATTTGTGTGTGTTTGTGTGTGTCAAACTGCATAATATTTTGCAAACAAAAAGAAATGCTTTCTCTTTGGCTTGTCTTATTATTATTATTATTTTTTATTTTATGCATCAATCACCGTGGCTTTCATGTATGAAGAGCACCCTTTGAACTATGTCTTTGCGCCCATGTTATTTTGTGTGAAATGACTTATCATAAAAAAACAAATGGAATGCATACATAGTTGCACTGAGCCCTTGCATTCTTGTTTTTGTTGTTGTTGTTCATAAAATACACGAACAAGAGAGTGTCGTGCTCTGTGAAAATGTCAGAATGATATAAAAAATAATGCCATCAAAAGATTCACACATTATTCTAGTTTTTTGTTTTAAACATATATCTTTTGTACGTATTCAATACATTTTCACAAGAAGTGAAGGGTAAGTATCTGTTTGAGCATCAATTCACATCACACTATTTTCATTCATTCAGTTTGGTTACGTGTCACGTTCGTATTGTTTGTCCATTCAAATGACATCCTCACTATCTAACCGCCTGATCCCAACATGAGCATTTAATTCGTTTTTTTGTTGTTGTTGTATTTGTTGTTTTTTGTTGTTAAACGCTGTACTTTTTAAATCTAACTGCACCCATTTGAGCGCACCATTTTGTTTTATGTTTGTTTTGTCTATTAATTTATTGAGTTGCCAATACAATTGTCATGCACAGTAGCTCTATTGAACAATATATAGTTGTCTGTATTGAGTGAATGTTAATGAATTTGTTTGCTTCGTTTGCATTTTTTTGTTGTTGAATTTCAAAAGTGTTATTGACAATATTTCGATTCAATTAACTTATGTATTTATGAATTTGTTTGTTTGTTTGAAAGAAAAAATCAAACCGCAAAAGTTACTACTGACTTTCTAAAGAACCGGAATGACCAATTCAAAGCATGATTAATTGTTATGCTATTAATTATCACTAAATCACTAATTTGGGAAAAGTTAAATGAGTAAAACAGTTACGTTGCGGTATTTACATATGTTCACAGTAATAGCAAGTTGTGTATTCCCACGCTATCGTTTTCTTATTATTATTATCTCATTTTATATAAACATTCTCGATAATACCATTTTTATACTTGCTTAGATTTGACACATAATTCTGTTGAATTTAAAGCTGATTTAAAACAAAAAACGATTATTTTGTTACTAAATTTAGTTGTTTTTTTGAATTTATTTCTTTTGGTTTTATTTTTTTTTTGTTTTTGCTCTGTTGCTATCCTGATTCCTTTGTTCCCGATTATTCCCTTCCCAAAACCAAAATTTAAAAAAAACTACAAACGACCCCATGCAAAAAAAAAAACGCAATTAAAACAATACATACGAACGAATTGATATCGAACGAAAAACGAACGAAAAAAAAATCACGAAATTAGGGTGATGTTATGAATGATATATGGCAACAAGAAAAGAATCTGACAAAGGCTGCAAAAGTATTGGGTGAATTGAAATCGCATCTTCATACACGTGAATCTGCCGCCAAAACAAAGGTAAAAAAAATGACAAGTAAAACGCGAATGGAACATGCTGTGGGAGTTTATTTAATTTTTGAGTGTCTTCTATGTATCGCTGAAATAATGCTTTCTGTGTTCAACTTTTCCAATGTGTTTGAAAAAAGCCACCACAATCTATTCTGTTTCCAACATTTCGATCGAATCGAATGGCATTTTAACGCTGATTTTTCTCTTTTTCACAACACCGCGCAAATCGGATAGGTTGCCGAATGTGTTACCATCATGAACAACATGCTTGAGCTGCTGTATCATGGAACAAATGAAAAGATCGGACCGACAAAGAACGATATCAGAGATATTATGCTGATTCTACTGCGTACTGTGATTCAAACATCAATTGCCATGGATCGTGAAAATCCAATGGTTGGAAATCTGGTGGCCATCATGCTTGCCATATTTCGTAGCATGGAGAGCAGTCATTACGATGATTATGTGAAGCATTTTCGCACACGATACGACTTACAAGATTTTCTCACCGAAATTCTGCTCGTGTTCAAGGATTTGGTATCGAAGCCGGTCTTTCCAAATGACTGGATGGACATGATTATGCATCAAAACACCGTAATTTTGGAGAGTTTGAAGCATTTTTCGCGCGTGATTATGGATAATTTCTTTGATCCATTCGAATTGCAAGTCTGGTCAAATTTCTTCCATTGTTCGATCGCATTTCTCATTCAACCGCCACTGCAACTGGATCAGTTTGGGGAAAATAAAAAAGATACGATTCTCTCGCGGTACAAAGATATTCGGCACGAAACGGCATACCAGATTCGCAGCATGTGGATGAATTTGGGCGAGCACAAAACCCATTTCGTTCCACAGCTCGTTGGATCAATACTGGAAATGAGTCTTATACCGGAAGTCGAGCTGCGCCGTGCGACCATTCCAATATTCTTCGATATGATGCAGTGCGAGTACTACACATCGAAATACATGATCGAAGGCTATGGCGATACAAAGCGGAATAATTTACATTACAAGGGAAACTTCAACGAATTCGAAAAGGAAATGATTGAAAAATTGGATTTGATTGTTGAAGGCGGCCGAGGTGATGAAGAGTATAAAGGTAATAAAAAAATGCATTATTTCAAGTAATTTTACACATTCATTTTGGAATTGCATTCATTTTCCAGATTTGTTCTACGAAATCATGATGAAATTGTGCCAAGAGCACAATACACTGTGCAGTGAGGGTGAGAAATTCGTTATAATCGTCACAAGACTGCTGGAACGTTTACTAGAGTATCGTTACATCATCAATGACGAAAGCAAAGAGAATCGTATGGCCTGTACGGTTAGCCTGTTGCAGTTTTACTCAGAAGTGAACCGCAAAGAAATGTACATTCGATATGTGAACAAATTGTGCGATTTGCATATGGAATTCGATAATTACACCGAAGCAGCGTTCACGCTGAAGCTACATTCGAACCTATTGAAATGGGATGATACGCAATTGTCACCACTATTGAAGTCACACCGGCATCCAAACTGTCAAACCCATCGACAGCTCAAAGAGAGCCTCTACAACGAAACCATTGAATATTTCAACAAGGGCAAACAATGGGAATGTGCCATAAATATGTGCAAAGAGCTGGCGCAACAGTACGAAAACGAGGTGTACGATTATCACAAACTGAGTCTCATCCATTTGAAAATGTCACAGTTTTACGAGAAAATTCTAAAGGAACTGCGACATGAATCTGAATACTTCCGTGTCGCATTCTACGGACAGAAATTCCCCGAATTCCTACGAAACAGAACATTCGTTTATCGGGGCAAGGAGTACGAGCGCCTGAGTGATTTTTGTTCACGCATTTTATCGCAGCACATTGGAGCTGATTTGATGCAAACATTGACCACGCCAGGTGACGAAATAACCCAGGGAGATGGCATGTTCATTCAGATTAACAGCGTTGAACCCATCATGGATGTGAATGCAGCCAGCTTCTCAAGCCTGCAAGAGAAGAATATCGCTCCTGAAATTGTGAAATATCACTTGAATAACAATGTACAAAAGTTCAAATTTTCCCGACCATATCGTGATAATAAAACGGGCGGTGACGAAAACAGCGTAACCAATCTATGGCTAGAACGAACCGTAATGAAGACCAAATTTCCATTGCCTGGCATACTGCGCTGGTTTGAAGTTATTCAATCCGAAACATTCAAGGTAAGCGAAATATCAACTTGGACTCCTTCAAAATCAAACGTATCCAAAAATTGAATCATTTTACTTTTTTTCATGTGCAGATATCGCCCATATCGTATGCGGTCGAAACCATGGAATCCACGAATAAAGTTATTCGCGCTTTGATCATTGCGCATAGAAATGATGAGACGCTGCCAATAAATCCGCTCAGCATGAAAATTAACGGAGTTGTGGATCCAGCTGTTATGGGCGGTTTTAGCAAGTACGAAGAAGCATTCCTCACTGAAGAATACATTCAAAACAATCCGGCTGATGAACGTCTCATTGAGAAGCTCAAGGATCTGATTGCATCGCAAATTCCTCTGCTCGAATTGGCATTGCTTGTGCATCGGGCCAAGGCACCGTCAACGCTTATGCCATTCCATGAAAGGCTGGAAAAATGCTTTGCTGAAATGCAGGCCAACGTTGAGTCGAAGTACGGAAAACGAACAAGTGATCTGAATCGTGACTCATTTGTTATGATGCGTCGCCAGAGTATAATGCCGCAGATAAGCTATGAAAATCGTCTGTCCGAAACGAGCATCGGTTCAAACGAGTAAGTATCACTGTTTCCATAACCGTATATGCCAGCCGCTGATGCCAATATTTCTTAATTCATTCACGCTTGAATCACACAATTCCACACGCGGATATCTGGCCTCAAACAAAACACAAACATTCAACTGCTGCGTATGACCCCATTAAAATGACTTTTATCTAATTCATATTTATCTATTTTCGTTTTGTAGTAGTGGTCTGTCAAAATCGACTCAAGGAAGTCGTCAGCAAACCAGTTCTATAATATCAACCTTCGGCTTTAACTTTAATCCTACCAATAGGTATTAAACTATGAATTTTTATTCTCTACTATTTCTATCTCATAAACTCTTATCATTGATTCAATCATTCTCATTGAGTAAGCTCGCTGTTTTGATAGTAAAATCATTATCTAAATTGTAAATCATCATTAACTAACCCAACACTATTTCTTTCTTGCATAACATTTCCGGTTCGACAGAATGGATCTATCACCGACATCAATATTTACTAACACCAAAACACTTTCACATAACATTATTTCCTTCCTTCAACTTCAGCTATAACGTAGACAAACATTCATTTATTTTACATGTTCGTATTCTCTTTAACACCATTCATTCTAATCTTTTGGTTATGGCTAGCTTAATTTTTTTTTTCTTTTAACACAACAAGATTCAAATTTTCATTTTGCCATATTTTATCATTTTCATTTCTGTGCTACTTTCAATCAACGAAGAAATCCGGCCGGATCGCCAAGCACCAAAGGAAAATCAAAAGATAAAAATAGCAGCAAACGACGATCTAGCAAAAGGGTAAATTCAATAAAAATCTTATTGGAGAATTTTGAAGGAAACCTTGACAATAATCAATATTCTCACGTTTTTCTCTACAGATTGGCGATCGGGATTCTCTCAGTTTAAATCTTTCAACGAGTCAGTTTTACACGTCAGCCTTGACGCCAATTTCATCAACACCGCCAATGGAAACGGAGCCAACATCAATAGCTTCATCAACCCCAACGACTGTTACAACACCAGTTGTAGAATTAACCGAAGAAGTAAGATTTAAAATTAAACATCCATGTATCAATTGTATTTATACGTACGATTGTCTTTGTTCACTTGTCCAGTTGACACCGAAGAGACCATTGCGTTCCGAAGTTGAACGTGAGAAGCGTTTGTCAAGACCGACAAGTATCGTAAGCCCAAACATAAAAGGATCCCAGACCGGTGTCGATTCTCAATCGCTATCAGGAGACAGTAGTAATCGAAATTCAATTGGTAGGTTGAAATGAAACTATTTCCATTGAATTAAAGTGATATTCATTGAAAATATTTCCTGCCTATTTCTCCCCGCCCGCTTAGTGACAACAGATTCAACAACATCTGAAGATGATTCAATCCCACCGCCATTGCCAGCAAAAACGCGTGACAGTAATGATTACAGTAACTTACCATTAGCTTGTGTGAACATTCAAGACAGTTGCGGAAGTGAAAATTATTCCATCGTTGTTGGACGATGGGGAAACAAACCGTTGCCGGCTGAACCAATCTGTATCAATAATTCGTCATACGATTATGTGGATGCACAAACTTTGATCGAAAATAGACGTCGACCACCTACCCCGCCACCGAAACCAACACGAAATAGCAAATTTGTACCGGCATAAGAATGATTATAGCATAACAGTTTGCCATATTTTAGAAAAATACCTACTTCTGCCGGCGGATTTAAAGAATATCAAACATGTATTTTAAGATTGCTGAGCATCTCAGCATTTCGTAAGGCACGGATATATCCGAGCATATCGACGACGCATACAGTGACGTACGTTGCTACGCGCAGCCGCAACGACTCGACCGGAATGTGTATGTTGTTGCTGCGTGCAGCCACATCAACTGAACACACTTCGGTCGAGTCGTTGCGGCTGCACGTAGCAACACACTCCACTGTATTATACAGTATGCGTCGTCGATATGCTCAGATATATCCAAGCCTTACGAAATGCTGAGATGCTTAGTAATCTTAAAACACATGTTTGAAGAATATATACTATGACAACGCCCGAGATGCACAATCATTCAGAATATTAACATGTCAAGAGACGTTAGTAGCAAATCAACAAGATTCAACCATTTTCAAGTTGAATTCTTAGTAACCGAAATTAGTTCATTATCTCAAAATTAAACTTGACTTTTGCTCAGAAGCAAATATCGTTCCAAATCATCTACAAAAAAAATACTTACCTTTATTATTTAGGGATTTTCAGACAAAATATACTCTGTTAAGAATAAGAACCATGTGTCTATTGTATAGGAAAATATTGTAAGTTTTACCACAGAATAAGAGAAACGTACAAGTTGTGTTATTAGTTTGTTTATATACACGCACATACAAAAGAAATTGTGCTTCAGTTAGATAAATTGTATTTTGCAGAGAGAATTTTATATCGATCTATATATTATATGAATGTTTCTTTCCAACTCATATAGCAAGAGCCTAGAGTTTTTAGATTTAAAAAAAAAATACACAGTTTTTAGTGCTTTATTGCGATCGACATTTAAGTGCCTATATTTTTTTGTAAAATTAAGATTTCTGACTGGCCAAAGATTTGTCATAAAAATAAACAAAAATAGATTCATCATTTTGAGCGAATAATATTTGTTGCATTTTTTTTCCTTTATTAAAACCACTTAAAAAGACGTACATATCAATTGTCTACTTTGTCATAAGCGGTTTATGAACGCCTGATAAAATTCTAAACCAAAGAAGCTTTACACTAAAAATTGACGACTAAATTGTTGTTTAAATATAATATCAAATTAAAAACGGGACAGACGACACGGATGTAAGTTGATGCAATTGGAATGGAATCGTAACGTTAAATAGCAAAGAATAATGATAAACGATAGTATGAGTTTTGTGTAGACCGGATACTTTGGGACACTTTTTTCATCATCATCAAAATGGGGAAATGAATTTCACTTTCTATGACTTTCGATAACAATTCGAGAGTTACGATTTTGTTTGCGAGATAATTCCAGCGTTTCAAACATCTCTTGCAATGCTGCATTCGTCGGGGTTTTTCGTCGATTACGTCGCAATGTCACCGCTCCATCTCGTAGTTCAGCGATCAAAGCGTCCATACCTATATATCCATACGGTCAAACAAACTATGTTAAAAAAGATTATTAATTTTTTTTTTCGTTTCGTGCGGACAAGGACATAAAAGTACAATGCTATTTCCAAAAGATACTGACTACCAACACCGATCTTTGTTCTATGAGTTCCAAAGTTAAAAAGCAAAACTTCAAGGTAATTATTGGGTACAGTTTTCAATAGAGTCAATTGTTCGATTAAACAAACTTTTTGATATACAATTTTTTTGTTCTTCTTTCAACACAAACACCAAGGATCCCAAACAGCTTATTCATGTTTATTTTGCTCAATTTTCAAACGTAGGTACACGAGTTCAATGTCCACCTGTTGCACAATCTCATGTACATGCGAAAGCGAATGTAATGATTTGTAAGTTGTCTTTCCACAGAACAGTAAAAGTTGTTAAAAGTTTGCCGTATTTTTCTGGATGATTACGTTCACTCTCTATCTCTCTTTCCCCATCTCTCTTTGAACATTTCAATAATTTTACGCGTTGTTTCCCCTCTCAATCGCTTTGTTGCTTTCCATCATCATCATCATCATCATCATTTTTTCTTCTTCTGTGGAATCGTTTTTTGTTTTTTTTTTAACACAATGAAACCATATTATATCGAAATAAGTACGTTTCCATGATACACGTAATTGCGTCTATTTTATAAGACACTAAAGCAAACGAGAGAGAGAGAGAGAGAGAGAGAGAGAGAGAGAGAGAGAGAGAGAGAGA